CCAGAAGGCTATATCTAAGCCAAAACTCATCGGATTCTTGAGCGGAATATCTTAAATGATTCGTGGATCGATTCTCCAATAATCTGCATTAAAATCCAGGAACAAAATATTTTTCAGATTTTTTCTCAAATTTTCTGGGGGGTCCCCTTCGAAATTCCGAAAAAGTACGGAAATGGCCATCTGAGTCACCCAGAAGGCTATATCTAAGCCAAAACTCATCGGATTCTTGAGCGGAATAGCTTAAATGATTCGTGGATCGATTCTCCAATAATCTGCATTAAAATCCAGGAACAAAATATTTTTCAGATTTTTTCTCAAATTTTCTGGGGGGTCCCCTTCGAAATTCCGAAAAAGAGCGGAAATGCCCATCTGAGTCACCCAGAAGGCTATATCTAAGCCAAAACTCATCGGATTCTTGAGCGGAGTACCTTAAATGATTCTTGGATCGATTCTCCACTAATCTGCATTCAAATCCAGAAACAAAAAAAATGGTTCTTTAAAAAGCTTTGCTCAGCCAGTAAGCATCCTTTCCTTGTTAATATACACTTAGCTGTATGCGCCCCGTCTATAAATATATTTATTGCGTTTTAAAAGTGGAGCAGCGTGTAATAAACATAAGTACTGCGTTTTTAATGTCCCAAGTAAATTATAATTTTAAACTCCTTTGTATTTTTTGTTCGTAACCGCGTTAAGAGGCGGTCTGTTTACTGGACTCACTCGAACGATTCTGCGGTTGATGCCGCAGTCATTAAAGTTTTTCTTTTTTTTATATTTACTTTTTGTGGTTTTGGTGTCAAGTATAAGTACTGCCCCGCCCTCTTCACATTGTTGTGGGGCTTTAACCCTCCGAGCTGTAGAGCATTTATTTTTGTCCTTTTGGTTTCGGGTGTTGTGCTTCCAAGTAGTTGTTTCGGTAGCTGATCCAATTGTGGCTTCGCACAAGGAGCTTGCCAAGTGGGTGTTGCTTAAATAGCATCCGGAAAGATAGGTCAGCATTTTAAATTTAAAACGAGAAACAAAATACTATGTCTAGCTGGACAAAGAAACCCCGATTCCCATTAGATAATTTTCTCATTCATTAACTAAACCAATTTGCGGGTGTTTTTGGTTTTTCACAAAGAGCAGCTCGCTCGGTTCTCGGAATGAAAAGGGAAATGTAAAATCAGATCTACCTTTTCATTCTTTGTTTGCCTTTTGTGTGGCAGGACATGGGGTTTCCCGAGCTCCTTGTTGAGTTGACTTCCGCAATTTTCGTATTTACTTATCTTTATTATTTGGCCAAATGAGCAAATGGCTCTGGACACCGGCCAGGTCCTCACTTTGTATGCGAACGAGGTCCGTTTCAGGTAATTACATACAACAGGGAGTACTACACGTACATACCTGTACCATATTGTGAGGGGTTTTATTTTTAGTTTTTTAACCCATTTACCCATCTGGTGGTCACCAGGTGGGGTGCACCAGGTGGCGGTCAGGATGTGAGCACCGCAGCATGCGGGCGTCGAAATGGACTTTTAAGTGCAGACTCAGCTCGTTGGGGATCCTTGGCCATTGATTAAGAGTAAACAGAGCATGTAAATGTTTGGATATTCAAACTTTGCGTTTTTTTTCTCCTTTCACTTTGTGCCTGAAAAAAAATGAAAATTTTTGCACATTTTTAAAGCAGGGTGGGGTGTGTGTGCGCGGGTGTGTGAGTCCACAGAGTCACCCCAAAAACAGAATTTGCTTTCTGCCCACAAAGTATAATGAATAACAGCACTCCTCCGTCGAGGCAACAGCGATAACGGGGGCGGGTTCTGGGGTGGTAGTACTAATACTCGTAGCTGGCCACACGCCACCCATTCCGGGGCATTGACATTTTGTCTATCGGGGATAGAGCTCTAAGCACAGGACTAGCTTGCTCCCCGTTGCCCGTTGGTCCCACTCCCCTGGACATGGCCTCGCCCACACTCCGGGACCGGCCATTTCCCGGAGAGGCATGCACCATAATTCTCGAGCCGCCATCGCTTTGATTTTTCGCGCTGCGACAATTTCGCATGCCTAGGCTGGCCACACATGAAAATAATATTACATTTTTAATTTAATGAAAAAATAGAAATATTTTTTTTAAAATTTAAATAAGAACGAAAGAATTTCTAGCTTAAAAGGTGAGGGTTTCCTATATGTAAGCTTCTCCGTTACAATTTCTTGCTTAACTTTGGGATCAACTTGTTAATTAGACAAAATATTCTTATATCCCCTTAAAATTTATTGAAATATTTCTTATTCCTACAAAAAATCTAGATCTCACCCTTCCATATCATTTATTAAAATCTTAAAACCCATTTATATTTCTCGCAGTGCTACTTTAACGAATTAGCGCTCTCCGGCGGGTGGTAACTGGTTGGCAGGATAACGCTGCTTTCAAAGGACCGCATAGTGCAGTTAATAGTTTTCTGATGCCCCAACCCTCCCCGGGGCACACACACGCATTGCTCTCTGACCTCCGATCGCCCACAGCGACAACGATAATCATGTTGATGAGTCCTGGCCCTGCACTATTGAACAGTTCGATTTTAGACAAAACCCTCTAAGCCTCCCCCCCGAAACTTTGGCAATTCAAAATAGAGGGATGGGGGCTGAAGACAAAAAAAAAAAAATAGAAAACAATTCTGTGGGCTCTCTGCTTTCAATTTGGTGCAAATGTCTGTTTCTGTTTTCTGGCCCTGTGCTTTGTTTCCACTACATTTCCCACACTTGCCCAGGACTCTCCCAGGATGACCATGGGATTTGTCTGTAAGTCGGTCTATTTGCACATTCTGTCGGATTTCCATCCGATGGGCCGGACTGAATTTCCCAATTCATATAGGGCTGTCCTCGTTTTCGATTTTGGTTAAACTTCTGGGGAATACTAATTTTAAATTTATGGGAGTACTTGAAGTGCATCCATTAAACTCTTTGTTAAATGTTCAAAACAAAAACAATAAATGGTGTAAGAGATTAGTTTTAATGAAAATTAATGGCTTTATCAAATACACTATATGATATACCATATTTCTCAATGTTTAAGAATTTTTTTATTTGTAAGAAAAAGTATGAAATATTTTCATACATCTTTAGAAAGTTTAAGAAGTCTATAAACAGGGTTTTATGGATTCATTGACATTATAGATATATTAATATCTATTATAAACATTAAAACCATATAAAAACTTCATAAATCCTTAAAATTAACCATAAAAAAACAACAAATATTAAATTCCCAATGGAAACCGATTAATGTCACTTTGAGTTTGAAGAACAATATAAATGGGGACTAGATTGATTTCCCATTCATTGAAATGGGTAGTTTGAAATGCGCCCCCGAATATCTATGGGAAATCGGTCATTCAGCCCGATGATTTTGGCTGTAAAAGGCCTTCGCCACATCCAACAGCCAACAACCAACTGTTGTTGGGACCCATTTCAAAACGGTTTAATGCGCCAGGATACACGTGTGTGTCGGGGTGTCTGCCTGTATGTGTTCGGGTGGCAATTGGCAGGACCAACTCATTAGCGCGAGGGCGAACAATGTTGCCCACACATACATATTGTATGTATGTAGGCCACATAGCATCTGGCCGGACCGGCCCTTTCCGAACCGTGCGTGTCCGCAATTAAAGTCACGGTGGATGGAGGGTCCGTGTCCCAGTGACGCGACAGATTTCGCTAATGACGATGTCTATATGGGGTCCAGGGGTCAGGGGTGCTGACTGTAGGCAGCGGAAAGGATTCCTTTCATGCGCTAACACAACATGAACCAACTGCAGAACTTTTGTGATGAATCGAAAAACTGAAACTACAGAAATTAGATGTGCATGTCAGTCAGCAAATTACTGAACTCCTCGCCCACCGCATCCTGACAGCCGGTGATATATCGCCGTCCTAGACCCTTGTTCAAAAATGTTGTTAATATTTTATTTGTGGTAGATTATTTAATTACATCGGCAAACCATAGGCCACACACTCAACAAAAAATACAATATAAAAATGGGATTATATATTACATTTAATGGAGGTACTTAAAGGCTTTTTAGGTAAATTATGATTTATTATAATAACTTGTTTAAATGTGTTTTTGTATAATTGCCATAGATAAATTAAATCATTATTTTCATATGATTCCATTATCTACAAATCCCCCTATTGTCAGGCTTTTTAGAAGGTAGCGTCTAGTCATTTCCTGTCCTGACTTTTCCTCTTTTATGTTTGTGTTTTTCCTTTTGTCCTGGACCATAACTTTCGATGAAATTGCATTGAATTGTGGAAATAATCGCCATAAAAATGTTTCGTGCACGACTTGTAATTGGTTTAAGAATTTATGAGGGTTGATTGTGTTTTTCTTTATATTTTTTTTTGTTCTCCCCTTTCAAGATACGCCGGCACTGGGCCTGCTCAGGTCATATGTGAGGGGTTCAGGGTTTTTTTTTTTTGGGTTAGGGGTTGGGGATGTTTTATGCTCTGATAGGGGCCATTGACACTCTTTATTGTTGGGACTTCACTTTCAAGCTTTTGGCTCAAATGACATTTGTTTTGTATTGAGAGCGAATAGAGCCTTTCAGCTCATAGACTGCTGATTCATGTAAAAACACAATGGCATTTTGTGGTTTAAACACAAATTTTTTGGCTATTTTTCATAAAGGATTTTAAGCAAAAATGAAAAATATTAAAATAAATGAAAAATACTTAGAAAGTTTTGCAGTTCGAGTGCTGCAGTTTTATTCAATTTAGAGCTCAAGAGTCACAAACAGTTTCGAACTCTGTCCCTAAAAATGAAAGAAATTCTTGAAGCTCGCAAATATTTGCACAATTTTTTGGCTCGCAAAAATTCAACTATGAATCTAAAAAATTTAAATTCAAAATCTGTCCATTTCGTGTGCATGTCAGTATATAAAATCAGAATCCAGACAGTCAGAATTATCTTGCATTTGATTTGTGTATCTTTTTGTAACGTCAAACTTTGCCTCTTATTTTGTTTGCAGGATATGCCTGGCAGGCTGAATTTTTTGCGGCAAAAGAAAGGCCAACGTCAAGTCAGTGGGATTTCTTTCCTTTTGGCGATGAGAGCCAAACAAATGACACGCCTTCTATAAGGGACAGAAGTCATCTAGCATTCGCGCAGGATGTGTGCCAGCGACGTGGAACCTGCAGAATCGGGCTCGATGGAAGCCTGAGTGGCGGGAGGAGATTCCTTAGACAGACACCTCTGATTGAATTGGCAACAGAAGCACCGACGGCTAAAACAACAACACCAACAAGTACTACAAGAAAAACAAAGGACATGCGAAAGAATACGATGGCGAATCGGAGGCGCAGAAAGAGGACCATCGGGATGCTGACATCAGGCCTAAAATCAGTAGTCAAGTGGAAAATTATTGTATCATCCATAATGTTGCTCTTATTAAGTGGGACAAGTGAGTAAAACTCATATACAGCAGTGCTCCTGACTGCTTCTGACACATTTCTGGGACTCGGACTGGGACTGACTAAATAAATATCTGCACCGATTCCCTTGGAACTCTGTGCGTATACGTAATATTTGTGAATACAAATTGCTTTTAGGTAAAATAAACCAAACTGTGTATTTGTCCCTTTATTCATACAAATTTTGTTCTGTAAAATTTACACAAAAGTTAATGTGCTTTTGGCCAAAAACTGGTGCCAAAGTTAGTTGTATAGTAAGTATACGCATGGTGTTCTCTTAAAGTTTGTATAATAGCTTCTGATATTCAAACAAAAGAAGAGGAGTTTTATGTTTCAATATCCCCTTTGAGGGTAAGGGAAGGGCAGAATGTAGCTAGGATAATAAATTTTGTTTTATGATGCAGGTTACACAGCTTGTATTTTACTTAAAGACTTTACAAACAAACTAACTAACATGGAAAATTTCCAGTTAATATTTTGTTTTGAATGAATATTCCTGAAAGGATACAGTGGACTACAAGCATACAAACTTACAAAGCTTGTAATACAACATAACTATTCTATAATTTCTAAAGGAAACCCGGTTTTTTTACAAATTATAAATTTGAAAATGTAAACACTTCTAATTCTATTGCCTACTTGTATGGGCGTCCGGAAGTTCAATAGTAATGAGGGGTAAAATTTTACCGTTCTTTTGGGTATGATAACATATCAGAAGATGCTTTATTTTGTTAACTATTCAATAAAATTAAAAAAAAAATTAATTAAAAAATAGCGCCCTCCTCCTCGATTCTCATAGGTTGCACTTAAGCAGGCCCGAAAAATCGGGGAAAAATATTTATTTATTTCTTGTAAATTTTTTTTTTTTTTTGCTTTTGTTGTTGTAAGATTTTATTGTAGTATTTGGTTGTTGTAATTTTTATTGCTTAAATTTTTTGTTGTACTTTTTTATAATAATTTTTTTTGAGTAATTTTTTATTTAAAATTTTTTTTTTTTTTTATTTGGTTTTATTATTTTATATTTATGTCCTGTTATATCTTATGCCATACATGCAACTGATTAATCCTTAATGCTTTAACTTTGATGTTTTTTAAGATAAAAACTTGGTAATTATTTTTAAATTTTTTAAGAGGATCCAATGGCCAACATAACTGCAAGTGTACATCAACGGCACTGCCTGATATCCTTTTTTGTTAGCCTTTCAGTTTTAAAAAGTTTATTTATTTTAGGAAAAGTAAAAAAGAGTATTAAATCTTCAGTATCCAGATGAAGGATAAGAGTCCCTTGTTTTTGTTTTGCTTGCATAATTTGCACCCGAGGGAGCTGTGGGATGTGCGACTCAATTTACACGACCAGGACACCGAGGGCGATGACAACAATAGTCCTAGAGCCGAGCCTCTTGAAACGGGGCCACCATATAAATTACAAAGATTTATAATTTTTATCTTTCCCATTCTGCTTTCCATATGGTGTTGCTGTGATTCCAATTCGACAAAAGGTCACGTGCTGGCTGTGCGAAAGGGTCGCCTGATGTCCCCCAGTACGTTCACCGCCCTCAGCGGAGACCTGCATGTGCAGATCCAGTTCAATGGCAAGGATGAGGACGACATGCCGTACAGAACAACCGCACAGCCCGACGAACACTTGAGCCAGGACTCGACGGGGCACAAGAACTCCATAATGAGCACTTTAGTCATTAGCAAAATCATTGATGACGTTCCAACGCCAGAACAGGGACAGGGAAAGGACTTAATCGAGGGGAGTTCCTCCAACGGAAGCCAGGTGGTCCTGCAGAGGCGTCGCAAGGAAGTGGTTCAGAATATCCCTCTGTTTCCGGATCCCCGGTTCAATGTCACCCAGGTGACAGTGCCCTGCCAGACATTCCTCAAAGGCGGACGCTACGAAATGCAGGTGGTCAGTAATCTGAAGACCATAACGCCGGATCCGCTGGGCACCAATCAGAGCGAGATCCGGACCACAACTCTAGTGCCAGCGCAGGATGAGCGCCTCCTGCAGACCCTGGACGTGCGGTGGCCCAGTGCCGAGATGATCGTGAGTCCTGTGCGGCTGAGGACCTATCCGCGGAGTCCGGTCGAGGTGATGCTACGGTTTCCGGAAGTAAATTGCAACCAGACGGGCAGCCTGGCCCTGCCGGAGTTCTGGCTGGAGCTGATTTACTGCGGCAAGGAGCGAAGCTGCGCCCGGAACGTTAGTCTGGCCAATGTCCTGTTTGCCGAGCAGATTCGAGGTTTTCCCAAAAACAAGACCCTGCATCTGGGCTGCCAATTGTTCGGCCTGGCCGGAAACTATGCCGTCCAACTGCGGCCCATGATTCCGGCCCAAAATGTACCGACCACACGGCGGCTGCTCAGCGTGGACTGGAGCGATGAGTTCGTGTTCAATGTGTACGCCCGCAGCATCTTTCCGTGCGATCCCCACACTGGAATCGGGGTGCTGTACGAGTATCCTGGCTGCATCCTGGAGCAGGGCGACCGGGTGCGTCTGTACGCCAGGCAACGGGCGGACGTGGCCTCCCTGAAGCCACCCACCACCCTGCATTACATCGCCGAGCAGCGTGTGGTTAAGAGCCAGCACTCGCTCCACTTCTCCTGCGACCTATTCTACGAGAAGTACGTGGAGTACTGCTTTGTCTACGTCAGCCAATCAATATCTGGAGCGGTGGCCGATGTTCGGATGGACTGCGTTCCTACATTGCCCGTGAGCGGTAAGTTTTGGGAGGGAAAATACAAGGGAAATTTATATTAAATATTATAATTATTTATTTTCATAAATATCCTAATTATTTTGATTGAAAGCAAAGATTAAAAATCCAATTAATTATCCCCAATTATTACCACAACATTAATGAAGAAAATCCCATTTAATAAATATAGTATTTAAAGCAAAACCACATCCTTTTTTTGCATTCCTTTTCAAAATGAAAAGGAAATAATTGAATTAACAATTTTCCATTTAAATTTTTTGCTTCATTCTTCATTAAATGAATTATGTGGATTAATTTGTGACATTCTGCTCTCATTCCCACAGATTCGGACACTGGGGGCTGGGGTCCATGGAGCGAGTGGACTCCATGTTCGACCAACTGCCTCGGGGGCACCAGGAATCGTTATCGTTTCTGCGACTCACCACCCCCGCGATACGGAGCCAAATTCTGCGAGGTATGTAACCCAATACGGTAGATTAACCTCTGAACGACCTCTGACGCCACCTGATTTGATAAACTTAATAGTGAAGTTTGATTGAGTGCTCAGTGAAATGATTAATACGCGCACATCTGCGAGGGGGCGGTTCCAAGACGCCCTATTTCAATAAGTGCTCCTCAACTATATCCAACGATGGGTGAACTGCGTTCGAGTCTGTCTTGGGGGAGGTCTGTCACCCACGGGATAAGTTTCGGGTTGATTTTCACAAGGGAAGAGTACACAGAAGAAAATAAATGGTAGAATAACTAACTTGAAGACTTCAAGAAGTATTAATATTTTCTTAAAAATTCAAAAAACTCTTTAAAAATCATTCTAAGGATTTCCAAAGTATAATCTTGTTAATAAAATTTAGATTTAGATAATTTCTTTCTATGTAGTATACCCTCATTAGGGCAAAGTGGAACTATTCCATTGTTTTTGTTGTGAAAGAGGCGGAGAAGGTCTGGATGGAGGAGATCTAGGTGCTGGGGTGCTGGGATGTTTTGGATGTCTGCGAACATGTTTCCACACTGCGACACTTGCTCTAGATTGCGTGGGGAATTTACGGCGTTTCCGACAATTGTCGGCCTACTACGCTTCGTTTTATCTTGTTTCTTTTGTTGAGCGTGGAATGGAAAGACTGTGAGGCAGTGGATGGGGAGCTCCTCCGCCTACCGTGCATTTCATTATCCAAAAACTTCCGGCATCAACATCCAGCGATAGGGGCACATTTGCCCGTACTTTACCAACTTGTTCGGAACAATTACAGTCAAAGTTTTTAAATGTTCTTCGCACTTATTGCGAGTAGTTCTTACACGGCTCTGGAAGCTGTGACAATGGAGTGGGTGGTGCCCTCCACATCCCCCCATCAGTGCCCTCCAACTGAAAACCATTCCATAACAATCTGCATTTGGCCCCTAAAGAATAGCTGGGAGGCGTTGCTGGCATGTGTGTATACAAATATTGCACCACGGGCTATTAATCAAACAAAGCTCCGGCACGGCACGGCACGGCAGGCTCTATTTGCTTTTAGAAAACACGGGAATCGGGAATAACCTTTTGTGACCACGCCGGGCCCGGGCACCACAACCTGAAATTAGTGGCTTAGGCTTCTATTAGGCTTAAAGTGTCTTAAAGCGGAAAAATGTTTCATGGTATTCATGGGATTTATGTTGGGAATAAATGAAAATTGTATTTAATTTTCCAACCGAAATGAATAGCTTTTTTATTGTCAAGCTTTGGTAGAGCTTTGATATCCTTGGCAACGATTCCTCAACTAGTTGTTATATTCATTCCCCTAATCAGAAACAGACAAGTCCTATGGAATTTCAGTCTAAATCACAGAAAGAAACAGTAGTCATACTAAATTATTAAAACTGTCAAGTTAGAAAATACTCGAACAAGATGCCGCCAAAACCGGCCGCGAAAAAGAAGAAGGAGGACCCGAACAAGGTCAACCAGGTGGACAGGACCTTCTACGAGCTGACCATCACAGATCTGAACCAGAAGTTGGCCCGCCTTAGGTCCCATCTGTCCACCGTAGACGAGTCCAACATCCAGTTGAGTGAGAAGCTCAAGGAGGTGGAGAGCGATGGCGTGGATGTGGCCGCCCACCTGGAGAGGACTTTGGCCGAGCGAAACAATTCGATTACGGAGCTGGAGGAGCGCCTGGTGGAGATCACCAAGGTGCGGGACGAGGAGAACCAAATCGCCCAGGAGAAGATCAGCGACCTGGAGGCCAAATACAAGGCCATGCATGACCAGCTGACCTCCGAGATAAAGCTTCTCAACGGCAAACTCAATTCCCTGGATGAATTTCGCATCCAGCGGGATGTCCTCTTGGCCAAGTTCGACGACCAGGAAGCCGATCTCAAGGAGAAGGAAAAGGATCACAAGGAGGCCCTGTACAACATGGAGCAGCGGGCAGTGGTGGAGAAGGACGCCCTTAAAAAGGAGGTGGAGCAGAAGCTGTTGCAGGTCTCTGAGGACTTCACGCGCTCCAGCGAAATCCGGAATGCCGGCTACACCCGTCGCCTTATCCGCGAGAACATCGCCCTGCAGAAGGAGATCGATCTGCTGGTCATGTCGCAGATAAAGCTGCAGCAGGCCTTCACCAACCAGAAGGACAAGCACAAGGAGATGGAGGAGCAGTACAGCGCCCTGGATCAGATCAAGAATGAGCTAGTCCGCAACTCGGTGAACAAGATCAAAATCATTGAGGGCCTTACCCGTAACTACGAGAAACTCAAGGCCAAGTACGTGGAGGTGCTGCGCTTCCGCAAGGCCTACGAAGCCCACATGCAGGAGGAGCGCTGCACGAATGTCAAGCAGAAGGATGTGGCCGCCAAGCTCCGGACTCTGGCCAAGCGAATGGAGATCACAGAGCTGGAGAATCGCAATCTGGTGGCCGTTCACGAGCAGCACGAGACCGAGATCATCCGGCTGCGTGGTATGATCCAAGAAATCAAGTGTACGGTCAGGGATGCCATTGTGTCAGAGAATGCAGTCAAGGTGTACCCGGAGCGACTGGAAGAGGCCAATGTGGATGGGCCCGAAGTGGTTAAGGATGTTCGTGAGGAGGCCGTGGCTCTCAGCAAACTGAAACGCGGCGACCTGCTCGCCCAGCTGATGAGCATCGTCAGTTCCCATTCAGAGGAGCTGCCGCGAACTCCGTCGATTGGCTCCATCGGGAGTGCCACCTCCTCCCTGTACGCACCCGGAAAAATGGGCTTCATGCCGCAGCGCCCCAAGCCCACGCCCTTTGATGTATTCCGCAGTGAGGTCATCGACCAAGAGCCGGAACTGGGAATACCAGAGCATCTCAAAAAGCAGCGACTCCTGGACAGGGCCGCACCGACGCTGCGAGGCATCGAAAATAACATCATCGATGTGGAGTTCGGTACCACGTTATATGTGTCGTCGTCCCGCGAGGAGGATGCCATCGAGATTGAGGAGGAGCCGCTCGAGGAGCCGGAGGGCTCCAGCAGCAGTGTCTCTGTCAAGAAGGAAAGCTCCGAGGGCACTGCCCCTCCGCCAGGACCCGTCCAGTTGGCTGTATCACCCTCCATACAGGACGTCAAGAAGACGGCGCCCAGCTCTACGGCCGATACCATGGCCTCGTCCTCGAAGCTTTTCGGAGCAACCGAGGAGGAAGAGGGAGAGGAAGAGGAGGACTACGAGGTTCAGTTCTTCTACTAGAAGTGACTTTAGTTTTCGAAATGTTAATTATTTAATAAAAATTATTGCAATGATGTAAATCAATAAGCTTATATTTAGTAATGGGTTTGGTACTTCTATAAACTATTCATTGTAACTTACTGCATAGTTACTTACTTCATAGTTACTAACTTTGTAGTTACTTACTTCATAGTTATTATTCTTTTTTCCAGGGACCCTCGGTGGAGACGGAAAAGTGTGGCAAGAGCATTGCCGATACATGGGACTGTATCTACGAGACCTCTGGAACATCTATGGCCAAAGCCAATAGCACGGAGGTGAGCCAGGAGATTGGACCCGGATGTCGTTGCGGCTGCATTGTCCATCTGGGCGCCTCGAAGCCCAAACGCATCATTGCCGGAGCCACACAAAGCTGTCCCGGCCGCTCCTTCTGGTTAATACAGGTACGTCACCTTGCCAGATGAAAAAAAAGAACTAGAAATTGCCCTTTGGCCTTTGGTCAAGTTTGAACAACTTTCGAGTTGCCTTTGGAGCCATAACTATAAAAACGAACAATGCCAAGCACTCAGAAGTCCATGAATAAAATTCCGCACGCCTCAGAGGCTGCCTTCCCAAAAAAAAGTGACAAAGGACCTCCACTTAATGTGCCAGGATGCGGAGGACGGGTGGAGGCGAGTGGCTCGCTCGGCCTTTTGGGGGGTTGAACTCAATTCATGCATAATAAATGCCCCACTTGGTAGGCGTTTTGGCCAGGCTCGAAACTATCAATGCGTGCTGAACGTCCCCAAGGATGGGTTGAACTTTCTCCAAAAAGGATAAGTTGATTTTGAATGAATTTATTTCAGAGATGCAGAGAAATTTCTAAAGAAAAGTTAAAGAAAATCAAAATTAACAGTAATACTGTAAAAGTTAATTCAACTATTAATTACTGGGTATCCTGCTGTCGGTATCCTTTTATAAAAGGGTATACAGGTTCCCCAACCACTGGACACAATTGGAATGATTAGACCCGGCAATTGGCACGTTCGATAAGCAGAGGGGATGTGCTGATTGGAAATGGATACTGTATGGTGATGAATGCGCCTGACCCACTTTGGCTTTAGGCATGGGGGTTGGGATGCGAAAACCAAACCAGTTTCCGCATGTTCATACACACACGGAGGCAAATAAAGAATCCTTTTCATTTCCTTGCAGGTGGACGGCGAGGAGAGTATTGCCCTGGCGCTTAGTTTCCTTCGATTACCCTGCGCCACTCAATACATAAAAGTACGCGACGGTCCTTCCCTCTCCTCCACACTTCTGGTGGAGCTGAATGGCGGTGGCCTCGTCCTCAAGGGAGCCACTGGCGAGGGCGGCATCCCCGTATCCGTGGAGTCTACCGGGGGACAGCTTCTGGTGGAGTTCTATGCGGGCGATAGCCAAGCGGGGAATACATCCTCTGCTGCGGTTCAGGATGCCCAATGTACCGGAGGCTTTATGGCGAATGTTCATCAGCTGTTGGGTATGTATAGACTTAAGATATTCCTATCTATGGGTATGTGATGTATTAAGGAGTATTTTTCCTCACAGCTAACATCAGTGGCAATAACACCATTCCCACTCTAGTGGCAGCCACAAGGATCTCCGGGAAAAGCCGGACTAATTCTCAAAAGGCCTTTTCGCGACTCCGATTTACTTTGGTGCATCTCAGCGCCATGATATTTGCCAGTATTATTATCGTAATTAGTGCTCTCCTGGGTAAGTTTCACTCTAAAATTGTTAAAGGATAAAGGATAAAAATATTAATATCCTTTTAAATAAAAACAGGCGCTCAGTATGTGGTGCGCTATCGGAAATACCACTTGGCCGTGGCTAGAAGACAAGATGAGGGTTCTCGTCTGCATACCCCAAGGGCTTCGCTGACTTCTCTACAAGGACCTCCTTCTCGGGCCATGTCCACCACTACCCTCCTCTCGGAGGTGATATATCTGGTAAAGATGCGACCCAAACATCACCTACGCCACTCAATCCTGCGGGAGAGTGTGGATGCCGAAAACCTGACGAGTGAGACGGAGTTCAAGGATACAGATCCGCAGGCCATGCTGGCCAAATGGTAAATACTTAAAAACTATATTAAGGACAGAGTATAAAACTAATATATTTTAAAACTAAAGCGATGAAATGAAGGAGCTGGGAAGCTCGGCGTCTATGCTTACCCTCCGCAATGAGCGCTCCTCGCCAGATCGTCTCTCTCTGGGCGCGGGCAGTGTGATCGGATCACCGTCTTCCGCCGAAGCTGAACTAGCCGGAGTACACAGCCCGGCAGAGGAGTCCAAGGACAGTGGAGCACTGGAGCCCGCCAGTGGCAAGGACAGTGCCAGGGACACTGAGTCCATTATATCCTCGGGCATGAGCTCCCTCTGCAATAGTCCGCCGATGAACAGCAAGCGTCTGAGCAAGTACTCCGATCGCTACGATGCGGCAACGTTGAAGCTGTTATCCTCTCGATTGGATGAGAGCCTGCAGGATGCCAGCTCCTTGCACTCGGTGACGGAGTCCTTGCGGCTGGGCGGACGCCTTGGGTCACGAAGTGTCAGCTCTTCCCTGACAAATGTGAGTTAAGAGGTTTCTGATTTGATCCTCCCAAGAGATGGATTTTCATTTAAAATAATTAAATTTTCTTTGTTTTCAGGGATGCTATTCTCCAGCTGCCAGTGTGGTTAGTACTGCTACCATCAGGACCACCAGCAACCCCAAGGAGTCCAAGGAAAAGCAGAATCGCAAGAAGCTATTGGCCAGACCGGGCTCAGAGTTCTCGTTGGGAAATCAGGAGGAACTGGAGATGGATTATTATGATTACAATGTAATCAACGCCGGCTCGGCACCGGGCTCTTATCTGGGCATGGATCCGGCCTATCTGGTCTGGATTCCGCCCTTCGAGGAGGTGGCCGAACGGGAGGAGGATGACAAAACACCGGAGCCCGAGCCCGAACCCGATCCGGAGAGGGACGAACGGCAGCCGCTGTACGAGGAGATCAAGCTGCCCAAGTATGGACACTATCTGAGCCCGGCCAGCAACACAGAATCCAGCAAGTCCACCACGGCGGATAACACGCCCAGTTCTGAGGAGCGATCCCCACCGAACAGTGGGCGCCCCTCCAAGGCCACCTCACCCTGTGAGGGTGGCAAGTCCCTGCCCCATAAGCAGCCCACTCCGTACATGTCCAGGAAGCAGCGACGCCAGTCCAAGCAGCAGATCCAATCTGCTCTGTCCCTGAGCTCCAACTCCCTGGAACATGAACAGCGCTCCGGCAGGAGCTCCAAGACACCCGCCGAGCTGGCTGCAGTGCATCAGAAACTGGAGGCCGAGGAGGAGCCCAACGAGTCCATGACAGGTTCGTATGTGGAAAAGGAGACGGCGGTAGAGAAGTCCTCGGGGGATCTGCAGGAGTTTCTGGCTCTAGACGACATCCAGTTTGCCGATGAAAGTGGCAGTGATTACGAGGCAGTCAACCTCAAGAAAACCAACAAGACAGAGTCCTCTTTAAACAAGGACGAAGTCCGGACAAAGCTCCTGAGCAGAAGGGAGCCCAAATCCCGGGAGGTGTCCGTTTGAATCAAAAAATAATTATGTAAATAGAAGCAGCACAAAAAGCTCATTAAAGTTTAGATATAGTTTTCGGAAGATCTTGTAAAATACGGGTAATATACTATACATATGTCAGCACCATCAGAAACATAGACCACCTGGAGTACTCTTTTGTTTTTTTTTCCAAAAGTAGACCTTAAGCTCAAATCCAAATAAATGTATACTTTAAAGAGATAAAAAAGAACAAAAAGAATGTAGAGCAAGCTCGTATCTAGTCCCAAAGCTATTGTAAGGCTAAAATGTTTAATCTCACGTTATCCTGTATATAACTTAGCTAAGGTTCACTGTATTCTAAGTATTTATTCGCACTAGATTATGGTTTGATTTGGTTTGGCATTGAATCTGAATTAGAGAATGGGAATTACGGAATATTGTGATCTTTATTTAATCGTGTTCTAGTCAAAATGATAGTCAAAATTAATTGGTATTTTGTTTTTGCCAAAATCTAAAGCCTTTTTGTCACCCTGATCTGTATCTGTTAAGGATTCAATAATAATAAAGTACTTGTACGAAATATATAAAACTTAATTCAGCCTCGTCTTTAATTGGACAATTTTTGTCAAAAAAAGTATTATCCTTTTGCCTGGAAAGCACTATTCAAATCAATTTCTGCAAAAAAAGTTCTGGGATTGTTTTTTTTGCACAAATTGACTTGATAATGCTTCTGGGAAAGGGGCTTTGCCTTAGAAAAATCAATTTCCTTATCTTCCAGCTTGAAATACGATTGATATTGAACGTCGTGTATGTCCAGAGCATGTGCTCTCAATTTCTCCTTCACGGGAGTCTTCAGGTACTTTGAAAGATTCGCCCGATAGGCGAGCAACTCATTGCGAGCTTGCTCCTTCCTCATCTCCTCCAGAAAGGGAGCCTCCTTCTCCGGCTCCTTGGAATGGATCAGCTTGCAAAAGGAGCAGGAATCCATTTTCTTTTTTGGCTTCGACTCCGCCTCAGGGGCTTTCTGTTTAAATGGTATCTGTCGTATGGGCGTTGGGATTTCGGGATGATGGCTCGAAGCATCCAATTTTCGCTTAGATTCTGTGGTCCTTTCTTTGGAAAAGATTTCCGGATATGGAAAAAGTAAGAGGTCACGATCGTTGATGCCATCGACGTCCAGTGACGTGGTTTCAAATGTCAAGTTCACTCCATTTTTCTTACTTAAATATTGCTTCAGTTTTACTAACCTTTCGGAGTAGTCCTCCACGGTGTTCGTTGAAGCCAAACTAGATGAACGACTAAGCTTAGATGAACGCCGTCGATTTCTTTCCGCGGTTAACCGAATAATACCAGCAGTATTTTCGAATTTTGGGGCGTCCAATGTAGCCATATACACCGGCAGTGTGTCCCCAGCAATTACCGTGGCATCCGATCGTGTAGCACCTACTGGACCAATAAAAGGCCACACCGATGATGATATTCTTTTTAAAGAAATTTGGGAACCTAAAGTAAGTCTTCTCTGCGACATGCGAGTAGGGCGAAATGTTTCTGTCAAATTATACGATTTTCTGTGTTTTTTTTCTTTTTTTCCGACAATATTCTTTTTCAGTTTTTTAACCTTGCTGCGCTTTTTGCTGGGCTCTGTAACTTTCTGGCGAACTTTATAGAGATCCATGTAGTTGGGTTTTGCCGAACTCTTATTGGGATCCCCAATTGGAAGTCTGGTTTTTGGAAGTTTATTCTTGGATTTATCTGCAACATTTATATCCGATTTTTTAGGCTCTTCCACCCGAACTGAATATATTTTAACTGGATGACTGGTCTTTCTAAGATTATTCTGTGTATTTTCTTTAACTTTCAGATTAGACTTATAAGGACCTTCCACCCGACCTGTATAGATCTCCTTTTCGAGACGTTGGCTTATCGAATCCGTTGATTCTTTCGACTTATTGGATCGATCCTGCAGCTTTTTATGCCTTTTGAAAATGCTGGATATGTCACTGTAGAGACTTTCTTCATCGTAATCGCTTTCCTTCTTTCGTTTTTTTCTATCCGAGAAAGGGTTCTGGCTGTCACGAATAATTTTGTAAAAATTACTTTTCTTAACAAACGATCGATCGGTTTTGAGTTTCTCACTTCCATGTTTATTTATCAACCGAGAAGGTCTATGAGTGAATGGAACCTCAATGGATGTGTTTGATTTTGTTTTCTTTCTGACCGTTCGACCGGTCTTTAAAGACTTTGGGGACTTTGGCCACCCTAAAGTTCTCTGATCGACTTTCTCAATGTTGTACAAAACATTCGAGACCGAGTTGGCGAGGTATTGGGCATTTGGATTAATCGGTAAACTTTTGGCATTTTCCATAAATCTCAGAACAATAATTTAAAATAAACGTAAGTATAGAATTTTCATAGAATATAGAATTTTAATATATTTTTTGGTAAATGTAAAGAAAACTTGAAATAATCTTCAAAGGCAATCTAGACTCATTTCGAATTAAGGAACTACACAAAACATTTCTTTAAACATGTTTTTTTTTATTAGTAAAGATTCAGGAAAATATTTTGTCTATTCATGAAGTATGTTTGAAAATACAAATAGGCTGGAGAAGGGTGCAATCCTATATTAGAGATATACATACGAGTACATAGGTAAAATTTTAATTGATGACTAGCATAGCGTATCATTATTTTGGTCCTATAGTGCCTGTTGAGAAGCGTTTTAGTTATGTTATAGTTACTTTTATAGTTTTAAGTACAAATTTTAATTATAGGTACTTGGTTGCAATCGGTTGGTTATTTATTAATTTCTTAGTGGAGAAGACAACTAACATTCTCCTCCACAAACGACTTAATCTAAGTTAACTTTTTAATTAACAGATACAAACGGATCTAATATCAAAAATGGTTATTGCATAGCATTGAGGTCGGTTTTAGTTTATTTTTTAATTTATGAAAAGAATCTGCAAGCATTTTTGGGTTTTCCAACAACTTTTATATCTGATTTTTTTATATCTGATTTATAATATTGCTATCAACGGGCCTAATAACTAGAAATATAATATTATATCAGGTTGTTCAAAAGCATTCTATTTAATGAAACTTCTTGGCATTATGTGCATGACATTTTATCATGATTATGTGTATGTTAATATTGCCTAAAAATATTTTTTTCTAATTAACAATTGCATTGTAGATTTCGGTAGAATAGCACATTCTTGTTAGTTTTGTATGAAAAAGGGGAAATGTCTTTTTAAAGTTTTATACAGTTTTGTAGTTTTTATTTTTTTCTCTTATAAAATTGTAGAAAAGCCGTAGGCAATTATAAAAGTTAATTTTGATCCCTTGGACTTCAACTTTGTTAGTTTGATAAACTGCAAAATATGTATATTCCATATGTTTATTTTTCAATTTAAACATCATTTTTATATGAGTTTTTAACATTATATTTTGGTTTTGTACTTTATAACATTCTTAGTTTATTTTTTTCAATTTACACATATTTTTGTTAGATGTGAATAAAGCTTGTAGAGGAGTGCATAGTACGATTATATTATTTAGTTAATTATTTATTATATTAAATCAAAAGCGTAACGGAATGGCCGATAGACTAGACTTTTGCTTTCGCAGAGATCTCATTATTATTTAAATTAGTCATTAATTCGTCTTAAATCTTTGGTTTTTAATGGATAGGTTTGCCTCTTTTTTGATGACTTTAATAAGTTTAATGCGAATGTGCTTTAAATGCTCCTCGTGAACAAATGTAATATTAATTTACGATTTTTTCGGATCAATTACTTTGGCCTCACAGTCCGTGGGATCAATGTCATGCTCCACGACTAGCGTATTCTTTGAGATCTTGTCTGCCAAAAGAGCAACGGCATCGGATCCGGTTTTGGCCAGCGATGGCCGGCCCGTGGATCGCCTTCTTATGTTCTCGTCCTGCTGCTCCTTGCGGTGCAAATCGCTCAGCCGGAATGCCTCCAGAAATTCATTGAGATCCACCTTGCCATCGCCATTCAGATCCATCATGCGACACTTCTCCAGCATGGCTGCCTTGGAATAGGCACCTGGCATATGGGCCACCAGCAAATCGATTGCAGTTTCAAACTCATCAAGGGTTATTTCACCTATAAAGGATTTAAAATCAGACATCATAAGATCAGTGAAACATGTTCAAATACTCACCAGAGTTGTCGGCATCTATGATGTTAAAAATCGCCACTAAGCTGGCCTTGTTGGCATATAAAGCGTCCATCACAGAAGTGCCATCGGCCTCGGCTTCAAGCTAAAATATATTTGTAATAAGTCTTTAACAAATAAATCTTAAATATTTTAACCAAAAACTCACAATCACATCCGTATCCAATAAGTCCAATGTCCTGTAATAGCTGACCTTTTGGCTATCTGTTCCCGGAGCCAACTTATCTCGAAGCAGTCGCCAGGGTAGACCAAGCTTGGTGACCTTTTCCATTACCACACACCAATTCGTAATGGATATGCTGCCACTGTCCTTGGGATCACACCTCCGGAACTCGTCCTCCAATTCGTCCCGATGATCACGCATACGCACCGCCAGCTCCTTGAGGGCCGAACTCTCCACAATTCCCATTCGCTGTTTGAAGGATAATCGCTTGGTTTGCGATGCCGCCGATATATACTGTACGAAGTGGGGCATTAACTGATTGTTGAGACGGATATAGGCGCCCTTGTTGGAGCCAATGGCATAGTAATTGGAGGCCGAAAAAATTGTGATGACCTGAATGGAAATAAGTGATATAATTAATCATAATTACCCTATGGAACTGACCCTGCCCTTCTTAATATTCCAACTAATATTAATTAAAATAATTGCTATGATAGCCTTGCTAATTAACCTCACCTTATTATCGTGCATGAATTCATGACCGTTTGGTTTACACTCATGGGATCGAATGACGTAGCTGAGTCGATGTTTCTGCAGGAAGTTCTCGGTCACATCAGGACCAAACCACACGCCAGCACCTCGCAGGGTGTTCGGAACACAGCCCATTGTGGCCTGCGGATCACTCCACATAATGTCAAAGATCTAAAAATATATACTTGAATAAAATGATTTGAATAGTAATTAAAATTTTTGATTGTTACCTGCTGCCATTCGGTTTTGTCCAAAGGTTCTCCATCTGTAAGCGGTGGCCGTAGAATAGAGACGTACTGTATTAAAAACAAAATAATGTTAATATTATAGTGCATTTCTTTAAAAACCTGTTTTATTACTTTGCCACGGTCAATACTTTTTATTAGATCCAGACTTGTGCTGTCCGAAAAGCCTCCATGAACGATTAAAACCCTACTGTTGAGAACCGAGCCCAAGGGCAGCCATCTATAGACCTCATCGATAAAGGCCAAAATGCGTTTGTGATTCCGCTAAAAAAACCCAATTTAGAATCTCTATACCTCAAAGATAAAAGTACTTACAGGATATTTACTCTCCACCTCCCGAATAAATCCATAGCGGGCGTTCATAACACTATCCTCGTGATTGCCCCGATTCAGGAAAACAGCCTGAGGAAAAGCCAAGTAGAGGGAAAGCAGCAATAAAAGGACCTCAAGGCCACGCTTTCCACGGTCCACAAAATCCCCATTGAACACATAGGGATTGGAAGAGGAGGGAAGACCGTTCTAAATGGAAATAAAGTTTAGTATCCTATTACTAAATTTAACTAGATTTGTATACCTTATGTAGCACCACAAGAAGATCGTCTAATTTTCCATGGAGATCCCCGCAGACAGTCACCTGCTGAGAAACAGCTGTGGAGACTGGGGATATATTTGGCAGCTGCTTCAAGGATTTGGCAGCTTCGCGTAGGATTAAAGCCACATATTTGGGATGTAATCGATTTCCCTGAAATACGTATCATTTGTAACACTAGGCACTTAAAATGAATTTGATCTCTTACTCTCTTCTTGCGGAAGACATCAATCAACAGATCGATATGATTCTTTCTTATTGGCAACTCTATTTTGGCATTCACGATATCCCCAAACTCCTCCACTAACTCATCCTTTTCATCGAGTATTGAAACTGAAAATATTCCAAAATGTTCCTTATATTTTCTCATGGTATTTTGTAGCCAAAATTCCACTCACCATGAGTCGATCCTTGGTTTTGATTCTTCCTGCCCGCCGCCTGGGGCATGTGCTTAATGAGGTCATTGAAAAATTTGTATAGCTGTGGCAACAAATAAGAGGCACATATGAGAATAATAAAAATGAATTAGCACTGAGTGGGTCAAGAATCCAGCGACGAGGTTGCACTTGCTACAAAGTTTCACGGCTGAGTTGATTGCTATCGACTTTTGAAACTTTACAAATGCACTGACGTCGTCGCCGTTGCGGCTGTCGTCGAGGGTTCTTCGGCTTAAGGTTCCTCTAGTTCTTTTTTCTTTTTTTTTTGTGTCTTGTGGATAAAACTTTCAGATACTCACCTCAGCCTGGTCCTGTTCGCTGGCATACTCCAGGTTCTGGAAGATTTGCCAGTTGCAACGCCTCTGCATTTCGCGACGAGCCTGATGTCTGCGATACCATTTCTGGATAAATATTGCCGCTCGAATGGCTGCAAAATATTATGGTGTTGAAGATTTTTTTTTAGACACACTTTTAGGGGCAATCAAGAGGTTTTATGGTCTCGAAATGGTGATGTCTAAGTACATTGAAGGCAACCTATACACACAGGAGAGGGTGGCAAGTAATATGCAACCATGTTTCGCAACAATGTTGCTGCCAATAAAGCCACTAGAATTTTTCGGCTTGCAAGTTTTGCCTTTGACATTTTTGCCTTGGTCGCTATTACTCCCAGGACATGGCACAGACTACACTTGACAAAATACACAAAATTTTATAATTTGGCAGTATTATTATGTTTTTTTCTGGGGCGATGGAATGGCGGAATGGCGCCACACAAAATGATTACTCCCACAAAGTACTTGCCGTTCTCATCCATTTTGATGCAAATTTATTCGTCTGCTATTCACACAATGCTGAAAACGTCAAAGACTGTGGCGAGGGGGATTTTTTAAGCCAAAGAAGGATGGTTTTTGGGCTACCAACTGATTAACATTTACGCAGCTATAATTATATCAGCCGGCTTATGGCAAAGTCTTTACACACTTGTCTCTAGGTCTGGTGGCGAGGGCGGTCGGTTATTCTTTTTCAAATTTATGCAACCCATAAGAAAGGGTCGACTTTGATCTGTATTCTAAACAGTTTATTTTTAAAAATATTCAATTTTCTTTTCACTTAATTAAATTGGATAAATAGGGTTCACTTTTTCCCCGTTCAATTATAAAATTTAAACTATTATTTTAAAGCCAACTCATAAGATAACCGCTTGGTTTTAATGCTCATTTAAAGGACAATAAAATAATCATCTAAGGACATTTCTCATTTGTCCGTAAACACTTGAAACTAGATAGCCGACCGATGTGAACTGGAACCCAAAACTGTTCATTTAGAACGGCGATGGCTTGCATTTCTGTTTGTTTTTGCGTTAAGCGTTCTTTTTCAACTTTTACCCCTCGAACTGTGGGCAGCATTTGCATTTCACCCAACAAAAATTAATTATTATAATGACAAAAGTTATATAAAGGTCGAAATTTTAAACAATATACATTAAAGAAACCACACTTTTATTCCATTTAACATAATTGCTAGCAAATGTCTTGAGAACCGAAATAAAGTTTCTTTGGAATTCCCAAAATTCAATCAGAAAAAGGTTATTCTTTTCCAAGAATACCCCAAATGTCCTGGTTTCCTTTTAAAGAAATCTCGCCCACAGTGCTATCCCCAATTACCGGAAAAGTGGTATGAGGGTTTTGGGTTCTCGGCTCTGGGTTCTGGTTGGTAACCTTTCCCATTTCCAATTTGCGTCCACGTCCGCGTGTTGTGGGTTAATTTCTGGCTGCGTGACTAGCTGGGTCTACTATACGTATACGTGTTTTCTTTTGTCTTCCATTATACATATACAAAAATGTAGATGTGTATGTTAGCCTGGTTTATAGCCAAGTTTTCACTAATAGCAGCTGTCCGGCCAAGGCGTCTGTTTGTTCATTTTACCTTTGCCTATGTCGTGTCTCCGGCTGCTTAGATCCACCCGAACAGTTTGTATAGTAAATTGGAACAATAAATAAAAGTTAGCGCAAGCGCCAAAAAAAACAACAATGGAGACCTCCTAATGAAATACCAAAATGTCGGAAAAGGTTAAATGCAACTGCATTACAAGGTCCTCCTTAAGAGAATTCACTCGGTCCGTTGAAAGAAAAATTTACAAAGTAAATACAGCCATAAAGTTTCACTCTGAACCCAGTTATTATGTATTGGGGGCACTTGGTTATCCTTTGTCTTGGATCCCTTGGAATATTTATTCAAAGGAAAACTTTAAGCGAAAGACTGAAGGATTTTAGCGCAAGTTCTTAATAATGTTTTTCTTGTAATTAAAGTTACTAACTAGCTAGTATTTAATCAGCTAATCAGCTAGCTAATCAAGTACAAATATCTTTGAGCAGTGATGACTACAGGTAGGGTTGGGTCGATGGGTAGATATGATTACTAGTACTAGATCCACCTCTAGTAACTATTTTCAACTGCCTAGAGAGTTCAACCCTAGAGTGCTTTTAATGTAGGAGCCCCAGAGACCCCAGTAACCGGATTAGGTTAGTAGACTACACAGGTTTTATTGCCCGTTCTAAATAAATCCACATAGAACTAAATAAAATAAGATAAAATACATTAAAAGAAAACACCTTTGATTAATTGGTTAATATGTATATTTTTTTAATCTAGTTTACATTTGAGCGCCAAGCCCTTAACTATGTTTTTGTTGTACAGACACCTCATTCTAATGATGACTAATCATTTTAATACCAAGGAGTACTAACAGTACTGGCTCCCTAGGGTAGATAAAATATCTAGTACTAGATCCACCTCTAGTAACTATTTTCAACTGCCTCAAGGGTCCACCCCAGGGAGCTTTTACTATAGGAACCCCAGAGACCCTAGTAACCGGATTAGGCTTGTAGACTACCCAGGTTTTATTGCCCGTTCTACACAAATCCACAATAGAACCACAAAAAATTAAGTAAAATACATTGAAAGAAAAAAGTTCAGATTAGAATCTAGTTTATGATAAACAAAGGTGCAAGATGCTAATCAAGAGGATCAATTAAAAAAAATATATATCTTAAAGCTCACAAATCATAGTTTTTAAGGTTGAACAGATCACCAAGTTTTTTTTTTCACTATAAAGATTATCCGATCCGTAAGCGGTACTCACTCTTTTCGGCCCGAGAGGCGCTCATGCCACGGAGCGGCTTGCGGAAGTGCTTGCACCAACCTCGCCGCTGGAAGAGCTGCAGCAGACTGGAGGCCCTGGTGCTCGTCTGGGCGGAGGAGGCCTGCGGCTGGCCATTGGGGCCCAGTGTCTGCATGCTGGCCCCCACCCGCTCTATTTCCGACGAGCGGCATGAGGAGGCGTCTTCGACGGAGGAGCTGCGCCGCTTCCCGGCCTCGTCGGTGCGCAGGCATACGCAACTGCGTAGCATTCCGCCGGATTTCGTTGTAACCCAAGACGTGACCCCAGCGGTTCAGCGGTTCAGCGGCCCACCTTGTGGCTGCTCCAGTTCCACCCACCCACCGCTTTAATGGAATCTCCACACATGCATTAGGTGTGTGAAGGTGTGGGGGTGTGGTGGTGTCAGTCTGGCCTTTCCAAGAGGTCTGCCTTATGTCACTCGCCTGACAAGGTAATATAATTTGCCCGCCACCCAGTTCATGGGCTTCGGGACAGCGCCTTGTTCGTCCTTCAAATGGCTGTCAGTTGCTGAATGGATGGATGTTTGGATGGCAGGGTCCGTCCGTGGGTTTCTTAGCTCGTCTCCCCGGTTCTTAATGCAAATTGATTTTATTTTCGCGTAATTTATTCATTTCACTGTTGCTGATTGCCCTCCACATATTCCATTGTGCGAAAATCCGTGGATTTCGTCTTCAGCTGCAAATAAATTATGAGAAATTGTGAGAAATTAAATGTTAAATGCTGTCGTCGCTTTTAGGGATTTGAATATATATATTTTTTGTTGAGGGATTCTTGCAAATAAATTTTGGCCAGAAGCCTATGGAAGCAGCAAAAATTCTGCTCATTCATTATGGCTTACTCAACCGTGATGACGTGGTATTCCGGAATAATTGGTTACTCCGGCTGGAACCCTTAATGAGCATGTTTTGTTTATTGTTTACTAAAGTCATAATTACATTACACAATTCGTGGCTTGTTAAAGTTATACCATTCCGGTCAATAAAGTTTAGTTTTGTGGTCTTATGGTAATTACATAGACTAGTTGCTTTGGGACTTGCGTACATTTAATGGCCCATTGAAGCCCCCCAAAAATATGCATATTATTATATTTTCGAAGAATAAATTGCCCTTGGCGAGGACTAGAAAAAATTATCCTTGCATAGGTGATTACTTGTAAAAGGCAGAAAAGCATATGTAATAGAATCCTTGAGTTTGTCGATCGAATCAATTGTTGGCCGCCGGCAACAGAAAATGATTATGGCTGGGATGATGATGGAAAGGGGGTTACAATTGTCCAGTATCCAGTATTGTGTATCCTTTCTGGATGGTTATGGTGTTGAGGTAAAAGAACCGTTGAACCGATGCGCGATAATACTAAAGCATAATATATATGTACGTGTGTCCTTCGTCCTTTCACTAGAACGGGTTGTGGCCGAGTGGCCCGAGTGCCCGGGGTCCTTTGTCCTTTGTCCTGAAACGAACTGGTTGTCAGCTTCTATAAAGCTAGAGTTCCCTTGAGTGGCTCCAGACAAACAAACCAATTTTCACCAATTGAGCCATAAAGCCGCACAGACATAACCCACCCACTCCCACTCTTAGTCCCAGTCCCAGTTCCACCCACACCGATAGAATATCCACGAAGTGTGAAATTAAAATGCTAACCTGTAGCAGCACAAGGACGAAGGATGTGGCTATGCCAGTTGCTAGCAGCGAATCCTAAATATAAAGGCTGTTGGGAAGGTGGGTATTGATTAATCGCCTGAAACATAGTGCCGAAGAGGATGGCTAAGAGTTTATTGGCCAGAAAAACGTTTCAATGGCCATTTAACATATTCTCTGGTCGAGCTTAGCAAATGACAACACTTTTATTTTAGAGTCCTAATGGCCAAGTTCTTAAATTTATGGCCAGTCTTCCGTAATTTGTCTTCCGTAAACTGAATTAATTCACTGTAATGCGTTTCCACATCAATTTATTCCTCGCTGGACCCACAAAGTGTTAATAAGATTTATCTACCGGCTTGAGGAGACTTGAGATAGTAATACTCATTTGTTGCCATGTCCTTAAAGTTTTGTCTGGCTTCAAAGCTCATGTAAATTTCAATTATTGTATTCCGTAGTCAAAGATTGACTTGGGCGAACACTTAGCCCCGCCCACAATTGGACCAATTGCCTTTTAGCCAGGTAGAGTGTTACGAATAAAATACAAAAGCCAAACCAATATAGAACACCTCACCCGGGCACTTGTTCGCCGCTTTTTGCACTTTTCGCGAGAAAATTTCGTTAGGAAAAAATGTAAAATGTAAATGTGGCGGGAAAAGCATGCTTTGGCGGGCGGGAGAGCCTTTTATCGAAATGTAATTTGTCTAAAGTGAAAATGACTTTGAGCTTAAATGGCTTAAATTCTTTGAGGATTTTTGGTCACTAAGTGTAACTTTGAAATTAAATATGGCAGGGGCATGAGGAAAACAATAAATATATTTTGTGACAGGGGATTGAAAGACAAATTATTCCACAAAAAAGTATATAAAGGATATGAAAAAAGCCTTTATATTTAAATAAAATGCCAAAAACAGCATTTATCTTTCACAGATCGAAATATAAAAACAAAAACATAAAAGACCATTGCTTCTGACAGTGACGGAAAAGGTTTTAGACCCATTTGATAGATTTGAAGAGTTCTTGGCCCCATTTTCAAAGGACACCCGGACTCAACTCTATTTATTTCAATTACACAGCATAGGGGCCAATTTCCGGTTTCCGGTCGGTCTTGTCTTAGAACGGACAGCGAGATAATGAGATTATCCGCCAGCACATTTCCAGACGGGAATACGTTATTTGTCCATTAATCCCACGGCAAAAAGCGAGCCAAAGGTCGAGGCGGTCGAGTCGACCGAGGCGGACCCTGGCGGTAATAGCTCTTCCTGCCAACTCACAATTGTGTGCTCTTGGGCGGCCAAGGCGGCTAAGGATGGTGGAGAGGAGTGTTCCAAGTGCGTGTGTGGAGCGTTCAAAAAATGATTGTTGTCCTGACTCAATTACGATAAATTGCATGTCAGCCTGTGTGACAATCAGCAAATTTGCCCGCATTTCAGCTCGACAAACAACGCTTATGGTAGCCCAGCAGCAATTAAGTTAGTATTTGCGAAAGATAATGTTTCAACTTTATATGGATATGGTATGATAGTATGGATAAACAATGGTTTTCTTTATAGATAATACATAAAGGAAAAAAGAGCATGATTTTAGCAAAAGTCATTTTCTTAAAATTTTTTTCTTTAAAAGTATTTACTAAAATTTGTAACCATATTATAGAGAAAATGATTCCAGTATTATAGATAATATATAAAGGAATAGAAAAAGCATTCTTCTCATTGTAAAAGAATATATTACAACGTAAAATTCATGGCATCACATTTTGAAAACATTGCTTTATGTATTTATGTTAAAAATTATTAATCATTTTATGATGGAAATTATATTTCAACAATGTATATATATGTATGTATGGCATTAGAAACAGCATACTTCTTTTATAAAAAGCATAGTGCTATTAAGTTTTAAACCCTTCCCCTTCAATCCATCTGTTAAAATCATTAACAATATTATAAAAGACATGATATACCTGATTAAGTTAAAATCAAGCTTTTATCAAAAGAAAATTTCCATCACATTTAAAATCCTTCTCTTTAAATCGATCCACTAGCAAGCTGAAACTCTATTTATTTCCTGCATTTATTTTAATTGGCCAAAGTGCTACACTAATGCCTTTACTATCTGGGCCCCCTCGACATAATTGAGCTAATTATCGGGGAACTGACAAGGTCAGTCATCAAATTTGTTCTCTCACAATCTTCGACAGGTAATTTAGTTTTCCTACGCTTTTAATTAAGTTGCCTTTGTCAATTTGGGAGTGGGACGCGTATCGCAGGTCCTGGATTGGTCCTGGATAGGTCCTGTTTGGCGCATCACGTGTCGCCCATAAAGGTTTTCCGTTCAATTTTGCATTTTTAGTGCCCGGAGTTGCTCGTCAGAGAGTTTTTCGTTTTCGGGGGAAGCCCATTAACGGAGCTGCGAGATTTTAACGACTTTGAAATGATGTCAGCCGCCTGGGAAGCTGGTGTTCGTCATCGTTTAGGACCGATTTGTCCGCCTTTTTTTTATTTATAAACCAAATTAACGGAGATTGGGCCTCTGGCGTCGACACCTACAGCCATATGGACTAGAATTTCCACCCAGCTGCGAAAACCATGATTTATTCACGCCAAGTACACTCAAAAGAAATGTACCAGTAAACGGGAAAACATAAAAAAGAGTATTTTCAAATATGCATAAGCCTGATGGTTTCGTTTATGTGGCGATTCGACTCGTAAGACTGTCATTTTATATTTGATGACTGTACAGAAATTCAATAGAAATGGAAGGGCTTTTAAAGTTGTTATGAATGGTAATAAAAGATAATACCTGTATCAAACCGGAAAAGGGTTTACGATTTCTTGCCGATTACGTGTAAATTCTTGCGGATATGTACTTGAGTATGATATCAGTCAAGCATTTTGTTCGAGTGTAGCTGGGGGAAAGTAAGCAAACACTGCGGCTTAATTGCCATGGAAAAGTATCCAAATACCAGAGCCTCATGCCAGTGGCATTGCCTTCGTTTTGGTTAACAAATCAGGCGTGAAAATGACGGCACCCCGAGCTCCATCTGGTATGGGAACTTAAACTGCTTAAATTTAATCGATTTTGGCTAAGAATTTTAAAGTTCTTATCTGGTTTACAGCAAAAAGAATGACAGTAATTCGTTGGCATGTAGATCTTGTTGCGGTCTTTGAATATTTTATAATATAAATCTCGGTTAGTATTTTGGTTAATGGCGTTAAGTTAATTGCTTTTTGGGCTTTCGGCCGCAAAACCTAATTCGAGCCAAACCACAACTTTCTACCGAATTTAAATGACTTGAATGTGGCATTTTCGTGTTTTCGCCAAACTCCAAAGTAGCTGCCATGCCACTTTCCACTTGCCACTCGACCTGGCTAACGGGGAAAGTTTGGGGATAAGAAAAAGGAAAGCCATAACACAAAAAAAAAAATTAAATCGGAAGTGGTGAGAAATTTTGGGGCTGCTGGCGTGTCGCGCCGGGAATTCGTGCGAAAAAATAAAAAAAATATTAATATATATATAAGAAGTGAACCGAATTTTGGGAAAAATAAACGAAATCACGAATATAAGTAAGTCCGGAGGAAACAAAGGCGGAACAAAGCAAGGAGGCAAAAAAAGGAGAGAAGGCTGAAAATCAAATGCCAAACGTCAACGAGATTTGTTGCTTGTGCGGCACATAAAACTCATTTCTCACTTTTACAACCAGAATGAAGTGGAGTGGAGTGGCTGGGGTGGCCGGGTGGCGGAGGTGAGATTGCTAATCCTCCGCCGGGCAGTTGGGCCGCCGGGCGGTTCGCCATCAATTGGCCCGACGGATTCGAGTGGGCAGGTCTCCCTGGCAAATTATGAGTATGGAATTCCGTCCGTATATGAGGGTATAAAAATGCCCGGAGGATGAGAACCTAATAAATTCCTTTTCGTATTCAATCCCCAATGCAATTCCTTCGTGTCCGGGCGTCTGTTTTTATGAACATCTAAATATATTCCGGGCAACGTTTTCAGTAAGAGTTAACAAATTGGACTCGTGTAAGACAGTTTTTTATTCCATAGATAAATTCGGGGTTTATTCTGTAGAAATAAAAATAGCCAGGATAATAAATGGTAATGATTTTCAAGGGATCTTTTGAGTATAAGAAATCCTCATAAGAAATTGAGAGGTTTTGCTTTAAATTAGGTCTTAATTCTTAGGAGAAAGATACGGGTTTTCAACGATAAACTGCTCCGGACATAAAAATAGCATTGATAATGATTTTCAAAAGATTTTAAGGTCTTAAGATTAAATAGGGAAGTTTTTAAGCTATACTTCATATGAGTATACTTCTTTTCTATTTAAAATTTTATTGATTTATTAATCTAGACTGCTTGTTTTTTGTTTCGGATACACGAATTTCTCAAGAACCTAATGGGAAAAAGATAGGTCAGAAATATGTATAGACAATAAATCTGAGCACACACTTGTCTCTAAAACATACATATAAATGGACAAATGGATCGTTTGGAATAGACAATACCGTAAGTATTCCAAACAGCAAACACCTTTACAGAGTAATGGAGCCTATATCTTTTATTAATGGTCTGTATTTAATTCTTTTCGTCTGCTGGCTGTCATCACCTTGTGCTTTTCTTATTTTTTCATACACATTTCAAAATTCATTTGAATACATGGGCGAAAAATTATACATTTTAGTACCATTCAAATCTATCAGAGAAATAGCTTTGCTTGCATTCCATAAGAATCTTAAATATATATTTTTCGTCTAGAAAAATGTGTATATGAGATGCAGATATTGGCGCTATAAAATATTCAAGCAGAGACAACATGGCGTATGAGTGATATAATTAATAATGTACTACTATAAGTAATATGACAAATATTGGTTTAATGTTTTTCTCGGTGCACTCGGTGATGGATAGTACTCGTACCACTAAGATGTACAGAAGTGCACACATACTTGTGTGAAAAATGTGTGACAAGGCTTGTGTGTAAGTACATATATATTTTTGAGTGGTTCCTCCTCCGGTCGGTCGATTTGTGTCTCTGTTTCTGATCCCATTTAATGCACAGAATTGGTTTAGTAATTTAGCAAACGAGGCACTAAATCGAGCAACGCAAAACCCGAACATTCGGTTTAAATAAAGGTTTTAAAGGAGTTTCTTGATGTCCTTTTTGGCTTTTTAAGGATGGCACAAGTGGCTGTAACTTAAAAGCGTGAGCGTAAACAAACACAGAAATTTTCGGCGATGACAACAATGGCTGAAATATAAAAGTGGCGGGGAAAAGTGGAATGTGGCAGAGGCGTAGGTCGAGGCAGCAGCACCACCACCAGCGGAAGCAGCAGCGGCAGTGGCATTAAATGAAGCCACACACAAAATATTCGTGGTGACAAGAAGAATAACAACAACAACAATAACAACAGCTAGAAAAGGAATAATAATAACACACCGAAGCATATGCTGCTATGATTCCGAAATAGCGCGCAGCGTCAGCATTACGTATACGTACGAGCGGTCGCGGTAGCGGTAGCGTTCGAGTTCGCTTTTTGTGTCTGATTCCGTTTTTTGTTTTGTTCTCTGTTCCGTCGCGCGTGGAATTCCGTTACAAACTGACGCAGGCCACCAGCTCGGAAATCCTTTTTGGCCACGGCATGGCTGCCACTGTCTCTGCCGGCGTCGCTGCTGGCAATTCTCACTCACTCTCTCGTTCTGTCACCAGCATGTCGCCATTCTGCAAAAAGCAAAACAAAGAGCGATGGCCGCCGCATCACCATCAGCTGATTGCCACATTTTCATTGCCATTTTGCAGCGGAGGCTGCGCGCCAAGAGAGCCCGCTGGCAACAGAGAGAGAGAGAGAGCTCCCACCCACGCATTCCTGTGCGTCCGAAGAGAGCTCCCACATTTGGAGCATTTGGAGCTTGATAATGTTCCGTGTTTGCATACGAAATTTATGATATGCATCTTTAAATTAAAACTTAACCAGACGCTGAGCCATTTGCCAGATACACGATGTATTCTTTGCTATCATAAAGATATGGGTTCCATTCTTACAAATCTTAAAGATTCCACTACCCATAAGCGAAGAAATATGTACCTTAAAGATAATTTCCGAAAAAAGATTCTACAAATTATTTAGAGTAATGTTTTTTTCTTATTATTTTTCTTGCTTAAAACCAACAAACATGTCACACCTGTTAATAGAAATTATTCTCAGGGGCCTCAAAACCCCTTTAAACCGGTTCTTTAAATGCTAAGATATGTGCTAATTGTTGGGGTTCCAAGTTTCTTAGATGAGCAAAAAGATCTCTTAGAAAGATTGTGAAAATCTAAAATAATGGCTTATAATTTATAGCAAAATACAAACTAACTTTAATAATTGTTTAATAAATATTTCCTTTTAACATTTCCTTTGAATTCTTCAAACATATTCAAAAACCACTTACATATCCTCTATTTGGGTTCCTTGAGTGTAGGTCTATTGATTATTTGGTCGGTGGCATGGCCTTTATGGGTTGCCAAGCCTTTCTGCCGGCCTCTCGGTTTGATTTTGGGCAAACGGCCTCAAGGCCTCAAGGGGATTTTGTAGCTGAATTCCACGATACTGGGACGAAAATTGTGACTATCCCCAGCTCCTTTATGCTGACCCGGTTGCCGGTAGCCTTCCGTTCCGACTTAGCCCGGAGCTTTAACTTTAATGGCAATTAGGGCTTCGGGGCGGGTAACCCGCTATTAGTGATTACGGAATGTTCGGCCCACTTCAAATTCAGTTAGCAAAGGTGCGTGCGAGACAAGTTTTTGTTTTGCCATTGGGCTTCCGACCATGCAGTTGGAAAAGTTTGCCTGCATTTCATGAATACAAACAAGCCGAGTAGCCGAGCTTGGAGATACAATGCCATTCGGTTACAACATAATCCCGCACGGACACTTCTCCTTGAAGAGGCCACTACTGGCTAGGACGGGGCAACTCGAAATGCTTCCGATACATGCCGATTCAGTTGGGGATTAGTTGCCCCTCCGAGTCGCAAGATTAGTATAGTTTGTTAGACTTCCTGCAACTTACCATCTAGAAAGTTTGGAGAACGAAAGGCACTTTATCTTTGCTTGGCTTTAAAGTTGAATAGTAACCGAATGTCCCAATTCTCGATCCAAAAGACAAATTCTATTTGAAAGGGAAAAAAGGTGAAAACAAATATGCATATGTGGGACAATTGTAGCTTCAAGTACAAAGGACTCGCGGATATCCTAAAGGTCGCGTGTAACCCGGGGCTGTTCTTATTGGCATCCTCATCCGGTTCTGCACACTGTTTTGCATATTCCAGGGCTAATGGCCGGTTGCTAGCACGCCACATACACTCACCTGAATAGCTTAATACTCAGGTGGGATCTACTTCGTGCTGGAAAGCCATTTAAATATGTATGTCCCATAAACATTTTACTGAGTCCAGTATTAAAAATGGCTGCATGCGAATTTCTCTCTTTCTTTTTTTGCAAACCCTGTCATTAAACTTCAAAAGTGACTTACTTAATTAAAGTAATTGTACACCACAATGATAGAAATTAAATTAGCTTTCGACAATTTAGTTTTAAATTTGTTTTAGATCTGAAATATGAATCTAATCAACTATAGGACAGGCAGTTTCTTCAGGTTATGGTGCTTTTTCTGGTTTCTGCAAAAAATCGTTTTGCTTTCATGTCCGCTCTTTTCGACTGCACGAAACCAAATGGTTTGATTATAAAATTGCACAATTATAGATTACACAATAATTTGCAGCTATTAATTTCATAATCAAGAACCAAGACCTTATCTTATCTCTTTTAGAAATTGGTATATGCAGTTTTAAGATTACATTCCTAGAAAGTCTAGTAAAGGTCTTAGCAAAAGGTCGAAAAAGATTTCTTTTAATAAAGGGAAAATAAAGCTTACATAAGTTTTTTTTTTTAATATTTCCAATTCCCAAAAATATTTATATTTATATAGGATAGTAATATGGTTATGATAATTATCATCATATTGTTTCAATACCTTTAGAACCTTTAGTTCGATCCTAAATAGGAGGGATCCTCGTTCAGGATTTCAGCAAAATCAATCTGAATGTGGGATTTCTGAGGCACATGACGTATAACTTCAACTCCAGCCAATTGCAGCATCTTTTTTGAGGCCTTAACTTTGTTCTTTTCGTAATACTTGTCCGACAAATAAAGAACTTTAGAAATGCCCGACTGCAGGATGGTCCATCATACTCTATTAATATTTTTGTAATTGTATACATTGTACATACCTGTATAATTAACTTGGTGCATTCGTTACATGGAAAGAGTGTGGTATATAAACACGTTCCAGTCAACCTGGTACCGTTGCTATGCAGGATCGCATTGGCCTCCGCGTGCACCACATACATCTTCTTATTCTTCATCGGGTCCGATTTACTTTTCTCCCAGGAGCACGCTTCGTTGCTGCAGTTCCGAGGAAATCCATTGTATCCATATCCTAATAGTCGGCTCTCCGAACCTACAATGCAAGCACCCACTTTGGTAACTGGATCCTTGCTTCGCATTCGCACCAACACAGCCATGGCCATAAAGTAGTCATCATAACTCGGACATTCTATTTTCGCAGAGATATTTTGAGTATTGGCCATCTTTTAGTTTGGAGTTTTTTTCTTTTCAAAAAAAAAGGATCTAAATTATACCGGTGGAGACGCAAAGCAAGTGACTCGATTCTTTTGTTTCAGCTTTACCTTCTATGGGTCCACTTTCTTCGAACAATGCACTTCAAGTGATTCGATTTTTTTTCGCCAAACCTTTTTATAACGTACCACCTATATGACGTTCTTGTCCTTTTTTCGCGATTGTTTGGTATTTTTATTTTATAAACCTCCTATAAAGGGCCCCTTAATCTTATCTTTTTCCGTAGTATAGAATAGGTGTTAGTTGTGGTTCATGGCCAATTATATATTAAATCATCATTTTTTTATGTTTTTAAAGAGTTTGTTTTACTAACAAAATGGTTTTATAACACATTTCTCTGTTCTCATTGAAATGTATGTATATAGCGAGGAATACATGAGCTCCAGGGAAGGCTAAATTAAAGCGTATTATTAAGCGGAATACCGCAAATGATTCGTGGGCGGATTCTCCATTAATCTGCATTAAAATCCAGGAACAAAATATTTCTGAGATTTTTTCTCAATTTTTCTGGGGGGTCCCTTCAAAATTCCAAAAAGAAGAGGAAATTACCATCTAAGTCACCCAAAAGGCTAGATCTTGGCCAAAACTCATCGGATTCTTGTGTGGAATACCGCAAATGATTTGTGGATCGATTCTCCACTAATCTGCATTAAAATCCAGGAAGAAAATATTTTTCAGATTTTTTCTCAATTTTTCTGGGGGGTCCCTTCAAAAATCCGAAAAAGAGTGGAAATGACCATCTGAGTCACTAAAAAGGCTATATCTTGGCCAAAAATCAACCGATTCTTCAGCAGAATGCCTTAAATGACTCGTGGATTGATTCTCCACTAATCTGCATTAAAATCCAGGAACACAATATTTTTAAGATTTTTTCTCAATTTTTCCGGGGGGTCCCCTTCAAAATTCCAACAAGAAGAGAAAATTACCATCTAAGTCACCAGAAGGCTATATCTTGGCCAAAACTCACCGGATTCTTGAGAGGAATACCGCAAATGATTCGTGGATCGATTCTCCACTAATCTGGATTAAAATCCAGGAACAAAATATTTTTGAGATTTTTTCTCAATTTTTCTGGGTGGTCCGCTTCAAAAATCCGAAAAAGAGTGAAAGTTACTATCTGAGCCACCCAAAAGGCTATATCTTGGCCAAAAATCATCTGATTCATGAGCGGAATACCGCAAATGATTCGTGGATCGATTCTCCACTAATCTGCATTAAAATCCAAGAACAAAATATTTTTGAGATTTTTTCTCAATTTTTCTGGGGGGTCCCCTTCAAAAATCCGAAAAAGAGTGAAAGTTACTATCTGAGCCACCCAGAAGGCTATATCTTGGCCAAAAATCATTTGATTCTTGAGCGGAATACCGCAAATGATTTGTGGATCGATTCCCCATTAATCTACATTAAAATCCAGGAACAAAATATTTTTGAGATTTTTTCTCAATTTTTCTGGGGGTCCCCTTCAAAAATCCGAAAAAGAGTGAAAGTTACTATCTGAGCCACCCAGAAGGCTATATCTTGGCCAAAAATCATTTGATTCATGAGCGGAATACCGCAATTGATTCGTGGATCGATTCTCCACTAATCTGCATTAAAATCCAGGAACAAAATATTTCTGAGATCTTTTCTAAATTTTTCTGGGGGATCCCCCTCAAAAATACGAAAAAGAGTGCAAATTACCATCTGAGTCATTCAGAAGGCTATATCTTGGCCAAAAATCATCGGATTCTTGAGCGGAATACCTTAAAGGATACCAGGAAAGGCTACACCTTTGTCAATAATACATTTTACAATTGTTTTCTAAGTTTTCCTAATGGGAGCTCACATAAAAACATGATTATTTCATTCATATTGACGCATATGCGCTCGTTTCATTACTAATATATTGTTCTTATTTGTAGAGCTGTATTTGTATTTATATATTTAATAAACACACAGGTTCTTTTTTATATACAATGAGTAGACGACTTCAAGTAATTCATTCATCAAAAGTATGTAACGTTAAGTGACGATCTGCGACAAGACAGCGATTTCGTGGGATCTACTCGGCCTTTTGAATAAAATGATATAATGAGACAATAAGCCCACTTACATTTGTCATTTTGGAATTTATTTGGTTCGTTACTAATTTTACTAGAGGGACAAACGAATCACGTCTAAAATCAAATTAAAATGACATTGACAAACACATAAGTACACGGTGGTCTTGAAAGTTCTATCCTAAGTTCCATTGTGACACTGATATCACAAGTGAAGGTCGTTAAGGTTCAGTGAAGAGTTGGGATCCTCGTCCAGGATGTCGTCAAAATTAATGATAATCTGCTTTTGTTTGGGCACATGGCGTCTGTGGCCAACGCCTACCGCATCCAGCATTCGCCGTGAAGCCCGATAAGTGGGTTTCTCCGCGTACTTATCCGACAAATAAAGAATATCAGAAATTCCCGACTGAAATATGGAATTATTTAATAGACATGACATAGATTGCTGAATTACTTAAGTTAATTATATACCTGTATAATGAGCTTGGCACATTCGTTGCATGGAAACAGTGTGGTATACAAACGCGTTCCAGTCAATCTGGCACCGTTGCTGTTGAGGATGGCATTGGCCTCCGCGTGCACCACATACATCTTCTTATCCTCGAGCGGGTTGTAGTCCTTCGTGTCCTTCTTGGCTTTCGTCCATGGAAACTCATCGTCGCTGCAGTTCCGGGGAAATCCATTGTAACCAATGGCCACTATTCTGTTTTGTGAATCCACAATGCAAGCACCCACCTGGGTAACTGGATCCTTGCTTCGCTGTGCCGAGAGCAAGGATGTAGCCATGAAATAGTCGTCCCAGTGCAAATAGTTCATTCGCTTTAAGTTCTCTGCACAATCATCTCCATTTTGAACAAACGCTTCTTGAGACATATCACTGCAAAAGCATAAAGGAAAGTGACGATGAATCATCCAAAATATTACAGTTACTAGAATAAAATCCCATTGAAATTATAACCCACACTGACATCGCTAATATGATAGCATTATAGTCGCTTATTCTGTGAGTAAAATTAAAACAGTGATAAGGAATTGTGTTGTGTTGGTAGCATCAAACATATGCGATAAGGCTATCAAACACAATAAACAATTCGGCTGTTCGGCTCGGAGACTTGATGAATCAATTTTATTTTCAGTATACCATTGAGATAAATATTTATTCTTAAATAAAAGAGAGGAGCTTTTCGACTGGAAACTGCCAGTGTTTGGAGCATTTTGGACCCCCAATACCAACGAGAAAAACATTTAATGTCCTAGTTTCCGAGATTTATTTTTCATTTGATCTTTTTCCTAACTTTTTTTATGTCCTGATGCTTTTAATGATAGGTATTTGATAGTCAAGGAAAATAGGACTACTGTGTGCATGTTCTTTATTGCATTCATTAGTCAAACGATGATCGCAGCGATTCAGCAGCAATAATAATATTTTATGTATCATAAATTGGAATATACAGCGAATACTTTTAATAATAATTTTCATATTCAACTCAATGTGTGGTTAGGCGAGTACGTAATTAAAACTATCAGCGGCGGCGCCCAGGGTGCCCTCCTAAGTGCTCTTCTGCACCTGTATGGGATTCTGCTTGAGGTGCAGGTATATGGAGCGCATTCGGGAGACGTCCTTGCCCGCCTTGTTCACTTTCGGATTGAAGTCGCACAGCTTGGCTATGCGCTCCCATTCGGTGCCGGGTTCAATAGATCCGTTCTCCAGTGTGGCAGCCTGTTTTTCAGCATTGCGTGACGCCAGCTTCGTCTTCGAGATGGAATCACCTATCTGGCGTAACCAATCGTCCAGTTCCTTTTTGGCCTGTTGTCGCAACTCCTCCTTTTTCCTCTCCTCCTCGAGGTCCTTCTCCTCTAGTCGTTGTTTCTGCTCCTCACGCCACTTGCGCAGTTTTTCTGGCTCCTCCCGCGAAGGAGGGGGCCCGGAAATCCCCAGGGGTTCATTGGACTCGCCACCGATGACCTCAAAACTGCCCGTTGAGGACTCTAGGCCTGCGCCACCCGCTGCAGAAAGTTCGCTGCCCAAGACATCGCCAGCACTACTGCTTCCTCCGCCGAGCAGCTCGCCCAATCCATCGTCCGTTGTGGCAGCTGGAGCGGATGTGGCGGAGCCTCCCGTAATCTCAGCCTCGAGATCTCCGAGGGCAGACTGTTCGCGCGCCAAAAACTCGGCGGCGGGATCGACTTCCTCCTTGGGGGCAGCGAAATCGTCTCCGAAGTCCATGTCGATGTGCTCTAAAATGTTGTGATTGCGATTTAGTGGGCGTCTCACTCCATTTACACGTACGCAGAGTAGCTTCAAGCTGTTTCCTTTTGCAGTTCGCAATTCTAATCTACTTACCTCGCGTTTGATTTGGCTGGCTCTAAATGAAGATCGGATTGGGCGGATGACTAACCGGAAATTCGGGAAAATATATTTTTTCAATTTTCTTTTAGCAATGAATACGTAAAATGACTGTCATTAGCAAGTGAACCAACAATAAAACAGCAGAATATCGAACCGGTTCCGTTCAATGTGTGTTGAGAAACGCGTGGGTGGAGTTGCATATCGATTGTTTTCTTACTTATTTTTATTTGTAGGAAATTAAAAATTGTTTGATTATTTATATATTTTAATGTTTCACACGTTTAAAAAAAAATCTTTCAAAAAAAATTACTTGTGCCTTATTAATTTCATATTTAAGAGACAACTAATTGATTCGCAGCAGTGCTGCCTAACGCCTTAGTTTAAATATTGGCGAATTGATTTTGATGGATGGGATAAGGTCATGTCCTTGTATAATCTGTAATTTTCAATTGGCTGCAAAATAAATTGCAAATTGTACAGAAACATCTATTAAACATTCTATTAACCACAAATTTATTCAAAATTCAGCGATACTACCGAATTTACCACTGGGTTAGCTAAAAGAACTGGTTCCAGTGAAACAGTGTTGTGTAAGCCGCTGCATAAGTGCATAAATCGGGGAGATTATATTGTTTATACACAACTAAATGTGCCTTAAACAGCCGCCATAAAACGTAAATAAAAACTAAAATTGATTTTAATAAGTCTCAGCATTTCTTGATTGCCGGCAGCTCTGAATGTAGTCTTATACAACACTTCCGAGAATGGCGCATTACACGTGAAAAACGAATTCTGTGTTTATCCATCTGTCGCTTGTCGAATCAATTTAGAATATCTGTTAATCACTTACCAACTTATATTGACTAAAGAAAATAGATTAACTAATTCAAACTCCAAGGGAGAACAAAACACGATGACGGCGAAGCAAATACAAACAATAAACACTCCCGCGAGCCGCGAACTAGTTCACCGTGGCATTATTTACGCGAACCATTGGATCCACAAACTAGTGGTTCACTAGCGGCCATTTTGGAGATTCGAAAGAAGAAGAGCGAATGCTACAAAAAGTTATGCACCGCAGTAAAAAAAGTTGCACTCAAAATTAAATACAAAAGTATCGTTTAAAATCCGATGTGATGAGAATGCTGACCCCAAGCAGCCAGATTGCTTCGATCCGAAATCTATAACAACGACAAGTTAGTGCCAATCCTCCAACACGCACGCATCTATGTATATCCCATGAGCGTGTATGTGCCAGTGTGTGTGTGTGTTTTTGTGTGTATGGATACATATATGTACAAGCGCAAAGTGCTGAAGGAAAATACGGAAAAAAATATCCCTAGCCCAAAAATAAAATTACGAAAACAAAATTATCCCCACCAATGGGTGACCTTTAATAACAATATTCAAGTGCAGCCAAGTTTCGGGTAGCATATCCCAACTCTCCAGTCGGAGAACACATAAAGGCGGGTTAATTTTCAGCAGAGCGCCAAGACACAAAATACAGACGCCAAAATTATGCAGGGGGAGCCAAGCGCAGCGTGGCTAAAGGGATACAAAAAAAAAAAACGAAACGAAGGAGAATGTGGTGGGGGGATAAAGAGTGCAAAAAACAGGAACGAATGGAAAAAAGAATACAACCTCAAAGCTGTAGTAGGGTTTTCTCGCATATTCCTAAAGTCGTTCATCAAAATAAACAGCAACCTGTCCACTTACCTGCCTAAAAAAAACAAAAATAAAATAATTTTTTTAAATAATATTATTAACTTGATTTTAATAATTACAGTTACCGCTAGCGCCAGCAGGAGCAGGAGCAGCAGCAGCAGTTGAATTCGATACCAGCGCCATGGATCCAAACTCCAGCCCATGGTCGTATGCCTACAACCGCATTGTGCCCGCCAGTGCCGGCAGCTCAGGCGGCACCGCCGACGACTTCCAGCACCCGCATTTGGCCACCATTACGGCGGCGAGTATTGCCAGTTTTAATGCAGCGGCGGCTAGCGGTGGCAGTTTCGTTCCACCGTCGCCAATTGGCGGATATAATCCAGTATTCCAGCAGATATACCACCATGCAGCGGCAGCCAGTGTTCAGCCCAAGCCCGCCCACTATGCCTCGTCGGCGGTGAGCACGCCGCACCGCCAACTGCAGCTGCCCAGTTCGCTGGACAAGCAGCTCACCACGTTCCAGAACCAGGCAGCGGTATCGGCGGCAGCAGCTGCCGTGGCCAATAATGTGGCCTCGAATTATTATGGCGAGAATTCGTCATCGAGCGGAGCATCACCATCGCCGACGACAGTGGCCCTAACGTCCACTTCGCTCACCTGGAACACGCCGAACATGATATCCAACACCTTCCTGGCGATGCAGCAGCAGCAGGCCCAACAACAACAGCAACAGGCCCAGCAGCAGCAACAACAACAGCAGCAGGCCCAACAGCAGGCTCAGCAGCAACTCAATCTGGTGGCCGATAAAGTGGTAAGTTTGATTTCTATATATATTATATATATACTGCGTTTATGCCACACATTACTGGAATTCATTATTTTGCAAAATCTAAAAAAAAAGTCCCTGTTTCTGACATAATCATAACATCTTAGAAGGCCAGGAGAAGAATCTCCAAAAGACTCAACAAATAATTTAAAAAAATATAGAAGAATTAATAGTTTTTCTTAAAAACTGACTATTATTGTTCGAGCTGGCAGATCATTGTCCCTCCACCCTCCTGTCGTTCCACCAAAGTTTGAACCTAATTCTGGGGAGGCTATCTCTCATTTAAACCCCAACGCTGTGTCTATCGCATTTATCGCATACTAACCCCATCTCCGAGAACACCCAGAGAACCATTTAAGCTTTAACTTAAAACCAAAAAAACCAAAACACTTCTTCCGATTTCGATTTCGATTGGCGGCGGTTTAGCTGATTAAGCAGGAAAAGCATATTAAAGCCTACAACGATTCAATTCATCTAATTCATCTGCAACAACAACAACAACAACAACAACAGCAGCAGCAAGTGGCAGCCCAACAACAACAACAGTTGCAACAACTGCAACAGGAGGTAGCTGGGGATACGGAAATGGAAACGGACACCTATTACACGATCGATGGGCGAAAGGTGAAGGTCACACGGAAAGATGGCCAGTCATATCGTGCCACCATTGTCGAGCAGCCGAGCGATAGTCCGGTGGCCGTTGTTCCCACTGCTGCATCCTATCCGGTGCAGTATGCTAGTCCGGCTCTCAGCTCGGCGGCCGGTTCGCCAATCACGAATTTACATGCCGTGGGCGTGGTCAGCACGCCGCAGGCCCAGGTTATCGTCTACAAGACGGCATCGCCAGTACAGAGGCGACCAGAAACAGGCGCTGGTTCGTCTGCCGCCCCGCCCACCACGGTGGCCTATTCATCTGTGATACAAAGCACCCTGCAGCAACACCCCCACCCCCACCCCCACCCACAGCAGCAGCAGCAGCAGAATCTCTGCTGGACGACAAAGCTGGAAGAGGGATCGGGTGGTGGAGCGGCGGCCGTTCAAGAGGACATTAAGAATGTGCTCCAGCTGCAGGTGAAGCAGGAACAGCGCCAGCTAGATTATGGCAGCGAGACCGCATCCACAGTGGAGACTGGCGGTGAGAATCTGGTATTCAATCTGCCGCCGGGGCTCGAGATCAAGCAAACCTTTTACACCACCGGAGTGGTCGATGGGGAGCAACTGCAACTGCAGGAGCAGTCTCAGTCCCAGACCCAGACCCATACGGGGCGACGGCAGCATGTGGTGGCCAACATGATAGCAGCGGCCGGCAACTTAACGTCACAGATTCAAGTAGTGCCCAAGGTTTGTATCTCTTTTGTTGTTTTATTTCTGTATATATTTGTTTGTTTCATTTTTGTTTGTGACCTAACCTGCTTTCTGTCTATTCTTTCAATTAATAATACTCCTTATGGGATATATCTTAATATAGCTTAATTCAGATTGATTTTAGAGCCTTCTCCTATCCTATTCCTTGCATGACATTACCACCTCCTTGTTGCTTAGTTGGTTTTCTGTTTAAAGATTTTTTATTTCTTAACTAACTTGCTTCGTTAACAGCTTAACTAACGCTCTAATCTAGAGTCCTGTGGCCACTTTTGAAACTGTGACGTTATGTTGTAATGGTATGATCTGGGGGGGGAGGGTTCCAGTTCGCAGCCCAGGGGTGTTCATGTCCTCCATCTCTGTTCCTAATGTCCAAGTCCCCATGTCTAAGCTATCTGATGAGTACTTTGTTTATGCTAAAGAGTCGGCTAGTTTGCAAAATCCAAGAACAAAACTGGCTTCGCATAAGCTTAGTAATAGTGTGATGTCCTTCTAGACCTGCCACTGCTAACTGTGTGTCCTTTGTCCTCCCATCTATTTGCAGGAGGAGGTGAAGCCGCCGCCAAAGCCGGCGAAGACACCACGCAAGCGGCAGCCCAAGAAGACGCTCATACCGACCAGCAGCGACTATGGCAGCGTACGAAGTCCCCAGGAGCCGCAACATCACCAGCTGCAGCAGCAGCAACAACAGCAGGCGCAACAGCAGCAGCAGCAGCACAATCAGCAGCAACAGCAACAGAATACGTACTACGACTTCAACAGCAAGTGGAACACGCCCCTCAAGACGGAAAACAATGCGGCGTCGGTTTCGCCAGCGGCCACCATCAACATACCCACATATCCGCAGCAGAGCCAGCAGCAACAGCACCAGCAGCAACAACAGCAGCAGCAGCAGGCGGCAGCCCAGCAGCAACACCTGCCCCAGCCGGCCCATCTGCAGTCGTCCCAGGCCCAGTCGCACCTGACCCAGTTGGCGCAATACTATCCAGCCTTCCCCCAGCCCATCGCCTCCCAGTACACGGCCTGTATGCAGCAGCAGCAGCAGCAGGCCCAGCAGCAACAGGCGCAACAACAGCAACAGCAGCAGCAAGCCGCCTACACGCAACAGCAGCACCAGCAAGCCTATTCCCAGCAGCAAGCCCAACAGCAGGCGCAGCAACAGCGCCAGGAGAAGACCGAACAGCAGGAGGAGGAGGCGTCGGCAGCTGCGGCGGCTGCTGCTGCAGCGGCGGCCAGCAACAAGGTGATCGTGCCCAATATCGAGGAGGAGCTGGACTTTCTGGCGGACACGAGCAGTACCCCCAAGCAGGGGTATGCCAATTCAATCTCCAGCAATGGACGGGGCACCAACTCCTCCACCAATAACACGAACTTTGGTATACGGAATCCAAACAAAACGCCATCGCCGGAACCGCCATGCCCCCAGAACGGACATGGTCACGGTACAGTACCCACGCCATCAACGCCTGCTGCTAGTGCACCCGCCGCCGCTGCTTACAGTCCCGCTGCCCCGAAGCCCGTTAGCGTGGGCACACAAATTGGGGAGAAGAAGACCCAGTTCATGGACAGCTATCTGAAGTTTCTGCAGGGCGAGCGGGACGACGATCCGCCGCCGGTTGTGAAGCCATCCAGAAAGTTGAACTACCCGAGGGCGCCGTACAAACGGAAAGGTGGCAAGGGAGCTGGGAGCGGTGGTGACGAACCGGCCACATCACAGGCCCCCCAGTCGGCGGTAGAGGCGGGCCATCCGGGCGATGGCCTTACAGGACTCGTGGGCGATGATGGACATCGCATCAAAATACTCTCGCAGACGCAGATTCTACCGAAGAAGCGTCCGCACGCCCAGATGGTGGCTGCTGCTGCTGCCGCGGAATCAGCACCTTCGTCCTCGTCCTCTGTCATCCAACAGCCGGGGGATCAGGCCGCCTTCCGGCCATATGCCCAGCAACAGCAACAGCAGCAACAACAACAACAACAACAGCAGCAGCAACAGATGAGCGGCCAGCACTTTGTCCAGCAGCATTGCGCTCAATTGGCAGCCGGTCAAGGTATGTTACTTGACCAACAGCATAGTACCAATAAGCACTCCACTATCGCTACTTCCACGCCATGCAACAACTACAACAACAACAACAACAACAACAACAATCACCACAACAACACATCAGCAGGCAGCGTTAACTCGAATGCGAATACGAATGCTAGTACGACGACGGCAACGCCAACGCCAGCAGCACCAGCAGCGCCGAATCCTCATCATTTTATAAACCTGCTGTGGCCATGGCAGCACTAGCACCAACCAACCAACCATCCCAACCACCCACCCACGCCATGCAGCACCACAACCCACACCACACCACACGGACATGGACATGAACAGGGACAGACAGGAGACGACAGACTACCGACTGAATACCATGGACGGTGTGTATATGTATAAACAAAAAAAAAAAAACCATAATGACAAAAAACAAAACCATAATGATAAAATACTTAAAAAAAAAAAAACGGAAAATGCTAACTTTTAAATTGTTAAAAGAGCAAAAAAAAATGCAAAAAAACAAAAATTTTGCAAAGAAAAAAACGCTAAAAAAAGGAGAAGAATCCCATGAACAAAAGTATAAAGTATTTTTGAGATGAAATCGAGAAGAACAAATATTATTAATTTTCAAAAACCCAAATAAACCGTGTATTTTTATTATTTGTAATTTGTAAGAAGGTATATATATTCCATTGTTCCATTCATGGACTGAATCGGATTTTGGACTCCGATTTTTTTTCGATTCCGAGATCCAGGTGCTGGTGCGTGGGAGATGGTGTTGTTGCTGGTGTTGTTGTCGTTGTAGCGCTTCCGTAGCCGTTCCGTTTGTGTTTCTTCGGGGTGTTTCCCCCCATGTCCTTGTATCCTGTATCCCGTATCCTGTATCCCATGTTCAATGTTGCTAATAAGCTTAACCAACCAACCAATTTTGTGCTCTCCACAGACCCGTTGAGTGTGCCGCCGCGACGGGAGCAATGCTCCCGCAAGGCCAAGCAGAGCAGCATGCACGCCATGCTACTTAATTCCAGTGCCGCCGTTGGCGATGGTGGAACCGTTAATGAGCAGGACGAGTTCACCGACTCGGACACGGATCCAGTGTGGACTCCGCAAGAGGAAGACGTAAGTCCAGAGATATTTCTCTCTCTCTCCTCAACTTCCTAATTCCCACTAAAAATCCACCCAAATCCTCCAGAGCGATGATGCCGGCAAGGGTTATGGGAAGCGCAAGCTGGCCCGCCGCTCGAAGGGCACACCCCGCAAGAACACCTACGACCATCCCCCCCAGCAAATGCAACAACCGCCGCAGCAACACCATCAATTGCAACAGATGCAGCAGGTGGCCCAGCAACAGCAGCAGCAGCACCATCAGCAACAGCAGCAGCAGCAGGTGCAACAGCTTGGTGACACTGGCTACAATCCGCAGCAGAATCTGGCCGGCGTGGGGGATGTGGGCTATGCCAGTGCATCATCGGGAACCTCAGCCAACTCGGAGAACTTTAAAGTAGGTTGCCCGGCACCATAATTGGAGGCTCAGATAGTTTACTAATTGACTTGCCTTGCAGACTGGGGACTTTATTGTTTTGCGATCGGATCTGGTTAATGATTGGCCCACCATCTGGCAAGTGGACTCGAAATGTATCTTGCAGAAATACGAGCCTTTCCGACAAAACGGAAAAACCTTTTATCACAATATGTCAAAGGTGAGCTTAGAGATATATCTATCCTGTAGTTCTCCAGTAAACATCCTCTCCTCCTCCGATTTCAGTACGCATCTTGGAATCTCGAAACTAAGAAACTCTACCTCAAAGCGCCGGTGCGCATGCAGCTACATTCCCACACCGAAACGATTGTGGAGTTTATGCGTTCGGAGCTGCTGGCCGATGACACTGAGCAGTTCATCGAGAAGATCATGGAGGACTATCTGTCGTACAGGGACAACTTTGAGATATATATTCAGACCATGATCTCGCAGGCCCTCGATCCCAGTTTCTTTTCCGAAATTACGCGCGAAAAGGGTGAGATTCAATCATGTTCTTTTGAAATTTTATGAATTTCAAACACATCTCTCTTGTAGATGACTACTTTTTGGGTAGCGTGCGGGTCGTGGACACCATTATGGAGAATTGTAAGCGTAAACTACTTGCCATCACTCCTTGGACACGGAGTACCATCTCCTCCATTGAGACCTGGCCCAAGTGCCATGTTTTTTCCGAGTGGGAACAGAACAACCTGACCCAAAAGAACTGTGCCGGATGTCATCAGCCAGGCATTGCAGTGCGATTTTTACTTTTTGGAGAACCATATAATCCCAACACCATGCAGACTATACCGGTCGATCCGCGTATTGTTTACGAAAAGGTAAATCTATATCTATTATGTCTTTCAAGTGGAGTACATTTTTAAATTCGATTTCAGGACATTGTCTTATGCCGCATCTGTGCTGCGCGAGCCGATCTCTTCCACAAGATTGCCCACGAGAAGTACAATCTTTTCATCAACTGTTCCCAGAGGGTCACGGAGCAGCAGCAACAGTTCCCCGGAAAGACCTCTACTGAGATTCTCAATGATCTACTGGCTGAGCACAACTGGATCGATGAGGTAGGTGCTTAAGATACTCTATTTAAAATCTATCTAATTTTTTGACATTACAGCTCTTCCGCAATATGCGAAATTGTTGGGCCGAGGTTGAGAGCCTGGAGCGCCAGAAGCGTTTCCGCGAAGTAATGCAGTAAAAGTCAAAAGTCTCCTTCATCATGAGTTATTATAATCCACATTGACCCTTCATTTTGAATCCAAGTGCTGGACATAAGGAAATTAAACGCCAAGCCCACGTATCGCTGCAATAAACTCAATGAGTTGTTATTTTATTAAAAAATCAGATGACACGCAAATGCTTAGTTTTTAGCGAAAGACACATATTGTACTAATTAGGCCTTAAGATGAAGTCTATTCTTGGACTGTGCATAATGCATGCCATGTAAATAGCTATACATTTAGCTATAGCCCCTCATTATATCAAATATGAAATTTGAAGTACTATACTACCTTATGCAGAGTTATTGATCATATTGCTTGCAACATTCTTTTTCAAAACGATTAAATTATGAATTGTTTTACAAAATCTGTTGAAATGGGGCTTCATCCCATTAAAATACACCCGCAAACAATCAAATTGTGGTTTGGTTGACAAACCCGTAGAGTGTACATCGTAATTACGTAATTATGTATCTTTCAAATACTGTACATATTTAGTTTTTACTTTTGAGTTATGCAAATTCAATTGCTATATTCTTAGTTGGCATATATTATATGTTATGCGGATTTTAACTTAAGTTGTGATTGATTAGAATCTTAGAGTTCCCTGAATAAATATGAACAAAAAAAAAACATCACTAACTCTTTACAGGTAACGTAGTTGTATATTTTAGTTAATACTAAAGCTCTTTAGATCTCGAACTTGTACAGAGGTTCGGTCATATTGTACTGGATCAGATCCCTGACTATCCCGACCATCCGGCGCTTGAAAATCGGCAACGTTCGTTCGTTCAGCATTTCGAATTCTTCGATTAGCTCCTGGTACTGTGGTGCCTCGGCCTCATTATCCGAAAGATCCTTAATGGCCTCCGATACTGTATCTATATCTAGTACCTCGTTGGCATTGGAAACGAAGAAGGGCAGGGAAAAGGCGCCCATAATTAGGCCATAGACTCCATAGAGTTGGAGTTGCCGGTCAAAAACACTGCGAGGATACATCTCCTCGATGCGAAGGCCACAGGAGGTCAGTTTTTGGTCAAGAGTCTCGTAATAGGCATTCATAAAGGCACTAAAGTGTTCATCTCGCAGTGGCTTCTCCGTACAGGTGTAGAGGTAGTGGACTATGTCCAAGACTGGAGGAGCATAGCGCGACATCTGGAAGTCGATGAGCTTGGCCTCCACGGGCTGGTCGAGATTTGGCTGAAGATTAGAAATAGAATTCCATTTAGAATTTGATTTAAATGAGAATAGGATTAATATACCTCATATCTATATAGAATATTATTGTTCCAAAAATCACCATGACAAATAACAGAGTATGGTTTCTGAGATTCCCCGTCCACGCTGTAGAGAGCCAGGGACTTGAAGTGTTTCTCACAGAGCTCCAGTACTTTGCGCAAGGCGGCCACCTCAGATGGCTGCCCATCCGCTGCCCCCAGCAAGTTTCCTGTCTTTCTCAGCTGCACCTTTCCAAACTCTATGGTCACTGCCTCAATGTTTTCGGTAAATAAATTATCCTTCTTAATGTGGCCGACCAGTTCCTCAAACTTGGCTGGATTTTTGTTCTGCAGGACAAAGGAGCAGGAATGCATCTCGGCGAGGGCTTTCAGGGTGCAGATAACAATGTCGTAGGTGGGCATGGAGCTGCGGGAGTTGGGCCGAAACCCGCTTCCAGCCAAATCCTCAAAGATTAGAAACTCATTGGGTGCCTGCAGACCGTTTGCCTCCAGAGCAGGCGCCACTGTGAAGATGCTTCGGTCCGGATTCAGTTCGCGGAATATGGGGAATACCTCTTGGTACATGAACACCTCTCGTGCGTAGTAGTCCACCACATGCATATGCGCTCTCCGCGCCTCGTTCTTTGGCGCCATCTTAACGACCACCGAGGGTGCTTCGGGTATCGTGGGCCAGCTTACCCGAAGTACCTGGCCGTAGGCGTTTTCCCCAACTCCCGCCATCGGCTGCGAGTCCAACGGAGCGTCATGTCGCTGGTAGAGATCCAGTAACGCCCGCGTCACGGCACTCGAGAGCTCGGTATCGCTCATTTTGGCTGTGGGAATGTTACTATTAGAGAGCTGTCTTCCAACTGAGGCCCTGCACCAAGAGTTCCGGCTTTTATAGTAAAGTCGTCGGGAAAGCTCACCGATACTTGCACTAGAAATGACGATGTTGTGATTACCACATGACCGGATGTTGTAGGGGGATGTATCCTTAATCTATCAAGGTTTCATAAAAAAAATATAATTTGTATACATTTTATTAAGAATATACAAATAAAATTTAGAATATTTTTGGGTAATTTTTATTATTTGCAAAACTTAATGCTGATTAAGATTCTTAACAATATTTTGTAAGGATCGGTAATAATAATACAACTTAAAACACCGAAATTAAATAAAAATTTCCTATTCCTATTATATATAAATCTTCTATCTCAATGTGGTATAACTATATTTCCTGGGATTCCCCCTGCCAGTTGAAAACCTTTTATGAAAATAAAACACTAATGTTATTAAACTTCCCAAATATATGAAAACCATATGTAAGAGAGTATTTAATTTAATAAAATCATAAATAATTATTCTTATATCAAAAACATATTAAATTAAAGTAAAATTTTTCAACTAATCTCGTTTTAAAATAAATATTGCGCATACGCCTAGTTGCGCAGTTACGAGATAGTAATATGGAAACAAATCAAAATTATTTACATTAATTGGGTTTAGGTTAGGCACACATTCGCAGCATTATTTAAACAGTTTATAGAAATAGAAAGATAGTGCATTTTCAATTGTTTTCTATTTTGGAATTCCGCGTCAGTTGCTTCGCGCTAGAAGGGGTCATTGACATCTCAAGGCCATGCATGCTTTCATAAATACATTCGTTCTTCTAATACATTTCTAATTCACATTCACGAATGTGCATTCTACACACACAAGATAGTTAGAAAAAAAAACTGCGAGCTTTACGAGTTAAAATTAGTTATAAAATCGGTGTTGGCCAGGTAGTAGCAGCATATCGGGCATTGAACTTGAGGCATGCACGTTTTTTTTGCAAAAAGCTCGCGAATTGCCGGCCAAAGTTAACGATCGTTTTCGATCTAATCTGAATTAGGAATCCCAGTGGCGTCTTTTTGCTGTTGTTGGTTGTGATACGGACAGTGATAAGGACGATCTCCAGTGTAGATCCTGACCTTGGATAGAGAAGCAATGAATAAAGCCGTAACTTGGGCTCTAAGGGTCCTGGTCCTAATCCTCCCATAGGATAGGCTTATGTTATAAAAACGAGCTTTTTTTTGACGCTTGAGAGAGAGAGCGTGAGAGCGAGAGCAAAAGCTCCAAAGTGGCCGAGAGAAAAGGGTCGTTGACCTGCCACACTTTTGAAACTGCGATTGCCCAACTGCCCGAGAGACCCAAAATAGAGTTTCGCTTTCTTTTATGCTCCCCTCGAGGGGTATGATAGACCCATAATTACTTTAAATTTCGTTACATTTTATTTTAAATTTCTACAATACAAAACTTGTTTATATTACACGATGAAACACAATTTTTTACTTAATTTTTAATTTTTTTATAGTATTCTATTTATTAAAACTTTTAATTTATTTAATAAAATTAAATTACAATTATACTTTTTCGCTCTTAGAGAGATTCGCATTAAAATTACAAACTGTTGGCTTGAATATTAAATTTTAGATACTTTTTTTTTTTAAAACCTTATATTAGAAAAAATATGAATAATATATAACAAATTGTAGAATAATTGCATTACATAAAAATAATCTAATATAAAAATGAAGAATAAATATTGTTTTGTTGTTACAATTGAGCAAATTGTGTGTGTCTAGAAGATTTCTTCCAATTTCTTTAACTTTCGAATGGCTTAAATAAGTTACATAACTCAAGGTAATAGGCTGAAGATTTACTTTAAATAAAAATTAATATATATGATTAATTCGGTGTCGTTGATTCCCTTTTTCTCTTAATTTGTAGATGTGGTTTAAATAAAATAATGGTTTCTATACTAAACTATCGTAGTCCATATGCGCTGGAAAAGTCTTAGGTATATACATAAAGTCTAGCTTAGCTCTGAACACAAAGAGCCCGTGTCCTCCACGATTACTGTAGCTCCGCGGAGTCGGCAGTGTTTGAATTTGAATTCTCCTCGGACTTCTTGGACGACGGCGAGTCGGAGAGATTGGGCGAGAGGTCGCGCAACTTCACAACATTGCCAACCGATACGGAATTGGCCGCCTCGGCTACCGAGTAACCGATGTCGGGAGGCGTGCCTTCCGGATACCCCAGATAGTAGTCAGCGATGCGTCCCGCTTCCCGCAAGCCACTCAAATAGGCACCGTGTACCGTTGCCGGATAATTTCTTATCGTGTGCTCGCCGGCGAAAAACAAGCGTGGCAGTCCCTCCGGCTCCTTGCATGTTGGCGGAATCACTGGCGCCGCTAGCAGATCGTAGTCACTGCCGGAGGAACCCACGGAGACGTAGCTGTAAGAGCCCCGCGCCCACGGATCGCTGCGCCATCGTGTGACCACCGTCTCCTTGGGCTGCGGTACTGAGGTGTTGCCAAAGATGTTCTTCAGCACGGACATGCATCTTCCAATGATGATGTCGTCCGTTACACTCTCCACGATATTGGCGGCCATTCCAGCCACCAAAGCTAAAAGCACCGGCGAAGAACTTATGCTCCAAAATAGAAACATTTCTCCTGAAATAATTAAAGTTATAGTTTAATAATAAAATCACTATTTTGTGTCCATAATGTCGATGCTTACCGCGGCTGGAGGTGGTACTGCCGACGTGCCCAAAGAGATTCGCGTTCGGGTCCCAGAAAATGCGATCAAAGCAGAGGACAACCTTGTTGAGATTACCAAACCCTAACCGCCGGATAGCCTGTTGCTTCCAATCGGGCAGTGGAGGATCGAATTTAACCGTATTGCTCTGCTGCGATTCCTCGTGAGCCACCGCCAACTTCAAAACTCCCAGGGTTAGAGTACACACGACCAGATCCGCTTTGTAGGACATCAGTGAGTTGGAGGTTTTAAGATTTTCGGCCACGACCTCAACACCCTGAGTTCCATATTTAATCTCCTTGACGGCGCTGTTGACGCGAATGTCCAGGTTTTCGGTTAGCGCCACTGGTACACAGGAATACCCATTGCGGACGGTGGTGTGATGGCCTATGAACTCAAAGTCGTCGTCCTGGTCCCAGTGCTTCAGCGACAGGTTGTTCAGTCGGGTGGCATTGGCAAACTCGAGGTTGGCAAAATGCCAGTCCAGAATGAGTCGATCGCGGGAGGAGAGATACACATCGCTGAAAGAAAGAATTTTGTAGCTTAATCGTGTGGAGACGACATTCTAGAGTTTTGTTACCTGGGTCGGTTCTGTTCCAGTTCGCGCAGCTTGGCCTCTAACCGCTTGTCCTCTTCGTGGAGCTCACCGTAGAGCTTGATCGTGTCCTCCAGCTTGATCTGGGTATTCCTTTTGTTGAACTCTTGGCGCGCATAGGTCGCAACGTTAGCTGTTCCCTTGGGCAGGCGCTGTTTGAGCAAGGCTTGGTGCTCGCTCTTCAAGTTGGCAATGTTCTGTTTGACGCTCTTCAGCCGTTGTCGGTGCTCGATTATTTTCGTTTGGGCTGCAATGATCTCCTGCATGTGCACGGCACGCTTGTTCATCACCTGCATCTCCTGCATGCTGATGATCCACTCGAGTGCATCTCCCAGCGACACCGGGCAATTACCAGCGTAGTTGAAGTCCAGGCGGTGGGATAGATAGCTAGCAGACTCCAATAGCCGATTGAATTCCCGTTCGATAACATCGTCCTTCTCCTTGGCCACGGGCTTTCCGTCCGGTCCGTAGAGCGGACAGGTCTGCTGGATGGGCACCAGGTCCATGCCGATCTGTTTGCTCAAGATGGTCATTGGATTGCCGTAGACACCGGTCACAACCATGGCGCCCAAGTCAGCGATGTAGCTGTTTTTGCGAAACGTGGCGATCCGTCCGCCAACACGATCCCTCGCCTCCAGCACAATCACATCCATGCCGAACTGCTGCAGCTGCTGAGCCACGGCCAGTCCTGAGATTCCTGCACCGATCACAATCACCTTGCCCAGCTTCTTGGTGGGAATGGGCCGCTGCCGTTTGAAGATTCCAAAGTTTATGAAGCCGTGCCGCTCCAGAAACGAATGTACTCGCCTCACCAGACTGGGTTCGCTGTCAAAGGGTGGCGGCAGCGCCTTCATGGCATTTTCGTAACTGAGCTGCACCTTCGGATTGTCCACCCACATGTGCAGCAAACTGTTTCGAATATTGAGAAACACCCGGTGGCCCAGAATACCAGACCTACTAATGTCCGGAAAACAGGCCTCCTCATTGGGCGTCATCTTGCTAAAGGGCAGTCGGGACTGAAAGACGGCGCCCTCCTGGCCGGATAGGACAGTGGGCGTGCCAACGTCCCGTTCCTTGGAGTCGCCATTCTGCGACGGTCGGGGATTAGCTGCCGCTTGCCCCGAGGCACTCGTGGGAATGGCATCCGACTTTCGGGCCTGCGTTTGATTCTGACTGCGGCGATCGACCTGATCTTTGCCGGTTACAGTTGCTGTGTTTGACTTTTCATTAGTGGCATTCTCAACAGTGCCACTTTGTCGGTTGCTGTAGTCCACCTTGGGCCTGTTGCGTCTACTGGTGCGCCGCTCGTCCCCGGTGGCGGTGCTGCTGGGCGTCGCATCGTTAGAGTCGTCGTCCGGCACCGGCTTTTGCTTCGCAGCGGTTGAGGTGGTGCCTGGTGGAGGAGCATTTCGTTTTGGCAAGGGCTCGCCGTCGGAATCGTCGCTTATCAGCGTCACATACTCGATCGGCTCGGACATCTTGGAGCCACTTCCCCCGGTTTGGGTGGGCTTCATCACTATCCAACCAGAAACTTGTGATCTAAAATAGAAATAGAAGAAAGATAGTGGAATAATTTCCATTTTAATGCCGCTTTTATCAAAATCGGCATTTGTGGTGGCGCCATCTATAGAATTGAATGGAAAACTTGTCTAAGCGCAACATTGCCCGGTAATTCTTTTTTTTGTTGTACAGCAATAACATAGCTGGCGATTTTTTTGATCGTTTAAACTGGTTTTGAAAATGGTTGTCTTTTTGATCACATTCCGTTCGCTAGATTTTTGCACAATCCATTTTATTTTAAAGGATACTCACGCTTCTGATACGCCCGCCAGGAATTTTTGGTACTCGATTTTCTGCTTCGACTGTGAAATATCCCACTCGAATCCTTGATACAGAGTGTTTTAATTCGGTAGTTGATTTAACTGCCACAAGCGATGCTTTTCATTTTACGTTAGTTTTCTACAAATATTTTCCTACTCTATTACAAATTTTCAATCAGCTGGGGGGAAATGAACAGTGTTGCTAGCTTAGACATTTCCCCGCCACATATAGCCTTTTTATGGAGCTATAATTTTAGCGTTGGATCTTTAAATCATTTAATTCGCAATCATTTTCCCAAAATTAAGTTCGATTTATAGATTTCTCTTTTTTTCTCTTTTTTATTATTTTAAAGTAGCCGAAAATATAAACATTTTATTCTTTCTATCGGAAATCGATTACACACATTACCGATAACTACCGGTATAAAGAGAATGAACTTTTCTTTAAAAGCTGGTCACACTGCCAAGCATAATTCAAATACCAACTTTTCTAACCGTTAAGAGAAATTGTTTTAATATTTAGATTATTTAAATTGTGTAAAACACAGCTTAGCTTAGCAATTCTAGAATCCAATTCATATGATTCTAAACTGCCATTTAAAAAGAGTCATGATAATAGGAACAAGCTTATAGATAAACTTTACCCATTCGAGACTAATTGCTTTTGATAATTGCTGGAGGTACATATATGGTTAGATAATATGACATTTCCTAAATTTAGAAGGTACAATCAATTTGGCAAGCTTTTGTTTTGGATTGGCAAAAAAACCGGCTTGTCTATTTTTAAAACCTATCAATGATAAGATGCGTATTTTCCAACTTTAATAACATGTTTTTTGGCGAATAGGCTTAATAAGCTACACAAACTTAAGTCTTGGATTAATTTTTGCAATTTTATTTAAGGATTAATAATTAATCCCCACCTCAATCCCGACCATCACAGCACTTATCATAAATGATCTTGGAGCTGCAGGCTGAGATTTCCTCGTCGAAGAAATGGTCAAAATGGCAGGTCTCCTCCTCCACCTCCTTGTTGTCAACACAGCGGATGTAGTTGTGGCAGTTGTTGCTGCTACTGGCCACCAGGCTTGTGCCGCGGCCGTCGCACCTGTTGTGGGTGCAGACCACTGTATTAGCTTTGCCGCACACCTGACGGTCCTCGTCAAAGAAATAGCCCTCGGGGCACTGCAGCCAGATGGGTTCCAGATCCTCCACAATTTCCAGAGCCTTGCACAGGAAGTATCCGCGGCAAGTGGCACCGTCGGACTTGAAAACCGTCGTTTTGCTGGCAGAGCAAACCTTCTGCGTGGAGTGGGCGGTGCAATCGACCTTGTTGGGCTCCACGCAGTTGCCGCTCTCTACGTCGAAATATTTACGACTCTTGTCCGTGATGCAGGTGTTTTCAACGTGCACTCCACTTTTACATTCATAGTAGCCAGCGCAATCGTCTTCCTTGCGGAATTTCGTCTTATCGGGCAGGATCTAGAAATATGAGGCCATTTGGTTGGATTACCTAGTGGTACTTTTGAATCACTTACCTCGCAAATGTTGTTCACATCGACGCAAATAGAGTCCTGTCCATGCATACAACTCTGCGAGGTCTCGTTGAAATGCTGGTTCACTGGACACATGCCCGCCAATGAAACTCCATCGTTACAATAGAAGTACTTGTGGCACTCCGTGGGATCCGATACCCAGACTCCGTCCTTTCCCTCGCACCGATTGCCGCAATATAGGTGACTATTTTCCAGTTTTTCCACGCACTGTGACTTGCTGGAGTCAAACGACTGGTCGGATGGACAGGTCTGCAGGGTCCCCTCACCATCATAGCACTCGATATACTGGTTACAAGTACCGGGCTTACGAATAAGAGTACCATTTTTAAATAGTCGGCAAAGCTCCTCGTAGTCTCCGGCAGATGCGGCAGCCGAGAAATTGGCAAGACACGCCAACACCACCAAAAAAATATAAATATGTTTGGATTCTACAAAATAATAAATAAATAAATCATATAATATTAATATTAATCTGGCTGATTACTATAATATCACCCTCTTGAAGTTAATTTATGAATTATAGATTTTCAAAGATAAGAATTGTTTCCAAGACGTAAACAGAGGGCTAAAGATTAGTTTTATGATTTAAAAAGCATTGAAAAAAACATGTTAAAAACATTAAAAAAACGTATTAAATGTTTCTGTATTCCACTTAGGGCTTTCATTGTCTTTTAGTGTAAAAACCCATTTGATAAAACTTACTCATCATGGCTGATTGTTTGGGGAAATTGGTTAAATTTACTGCAGAACCGATCGCGTTGTTTGATGTGGCCTCGGGAACTAATTGCTCCAGACTAAATAGAGTTTCTTGAATGGTTAAAGTTTATATTAACTGGCTACCGTTTTAGCTGATAATGGCGCTTTATTGCCCCAATGCCTGCAAATCTTATCGACATTGTGCAATACTACGTAAGCTTCCTCAAGTGTTTAATATTCTGTGATTTAAATCAGGGCATCCGCCAGCATAATAATGCCCAGCAATGGACTTTCCTGTCCACTTCTGACGTTTGTCTTTTGATTCAGCAGATGTGAGTAGAAGGTATAACTAGTTAATGAGCTCTTAACTCTTGATTGGTTCCTAATTAATTGAACAATAAAAATATTAATCGCTTATCAGCAGTCACAAGTCACAACTAGACCGTAAATATGGCAAAATGATAAAGCGAGCTACCATTTTAATGTCGTTTTTGGGAAAAATCAGAGTTTTCGAAAAACATTGATTGGGTTCTACAAATAAGACACTGATTATCATTTATGATGGCTAAAATAAATTGGCTTAGAACACCTGACGGAAAAGTTTTCATGGTGATAGACAGTGTTTGATTCTGGGTAGTTCTACTACTTGGAAAACAGTCTAGAACAAATAGAATTGTGGTGCATGATTTATAAAAAATAGGGAAATGCTATCAGCGTTCGTTAAAAACCCTTTCTCAATTAAAAAGATCAATATCATTTCACATTGCTGGTTGATTTTTATTTACTTGGCTACTAGGCACACACGGGATAGGTAGTGATCTGCTGGACACAGGAACCCTTCTCCTCGTCAAAGAATAAGTTTCCGCAGGACTTCTCATCCAGGGTGACCCCATTCGAACAGCGTAAATAACTACGGCATCCTTTGGAGGAGCTGACCACAAAATCGAGGGTGCGACCATCGCAACGATCTGCGGCGCAGGTTACTTGATTGGCTAGACGGCAAGACTCGGTTTTTGCATCAAAGAAGCGGTCCTCGGGGCACTGGTTCCACTGGGGATTGGCGTCCGGCGTACCGTCCTGTTGCTTGGCACAGTAGAAGTAGCCCCGGCAGGTGGCTCCATCGGTAACGAATTTATTCGCTTTCGGACTTTTCACCGTGCCGCAAACGTCCTTGGGCAAGGGATGGGCTTCGCATTCGACCAGGGCCTTGTTCTGACATTCTCCCGCGCTGGCCTGATAATACTGGCCTGAGCAGGTCTTAGATTGGAGGCTACCTTTGCTACAGACATGGTACTGGTCACATCCCTGGCGATTGTCGAAATTCACTCCATCCTTCACAATATAGCAATACTCAAAGCTGCTGGTGGTGCAGGCCGATTCGTGCTGGCGGGTGCAGGTCTGGGTGGTGGCATTGAAATGAGTGTTTTGCGGGCATGTGCCGTACAAGGCCGTCTCCTGATCCTGGCAATAGTAGTAGCCATAGCAGGACTTGGGATCGGCCAAAAACTGGGTGGCCGATTGGGAGCACGAAATGGAGCAACTGGACTCATCCGACAAGCTCTTCACGCACTTTCCGGTGTCCTTATTAAAGAATGCAGTGTCGCCGGAGCAGGTGCTATAATGACTCACAAAATCGATGCAGGTGATGGACTTGCTGCAGGATTCCGGATCCCGGATGACAGTATTGTTGGAAAATAAACGGCAAATATCCTCGTCGCGTGCACTCACAGGACCGAAAGATTGCAGCAGCAACAATACCAGTGCCGCTGCTGGGCCAATAACAGTTCCAAAGTCTATAAAAATGTTTAAAGTAAAATTAATTTTTCTGACTCAAGAATAAACCGACTAAGTCTACCCACTTTTCATGGCAATAAACGATGCGATCGACAGCTCAACTTGCGGCAAACTAATAACTCTTGCCGGGTGTGATTACTTTTATGAGTGCCTATCGGATCGAGAGTCCATATTAATGGTGATAACCGGGCTTTTTTTAATTGGCAGGAGTGTGTATGGTAAAAATAAAATGCCTTCAGTATTATAAATATTTAAACTCTTTCGAAATACTCTCGAAATTGATTTATATTTCATTAGAGCTACAAACAGTTGTCATCCTTGAACACAAAAAAGTCTTTATTATAAATAATTTTCATAAGTATTAATTTAAGTATAAGTATAATTTAAAGTATTTTCCATAAACTATAAAATATTTTATAAAGTTCATAATGGGTATAGCTATAAGGTAACATTCCTTTAAATAAAAATATTAATAAATATTTGGCAATTGAAAGTTTCTAATCCATAACCCAACAATAAAACGAGATAAGATAATACATTTTTTTGAATAAAGGGAATTAATAACAGAAACCAAATGGTTTCATTCATAAACTAAACAATCAAAAAAAGATTTAAAATTGGAATATTTTTTAAAAATATTTAAAAATAAAATTATAAAAATAAAATAAAGAAAGACACCATAAATAGAAAGCATACCAATTACATAATACATAAAATAATAATTAAAAGACATGATAGTTGTAAAATTAAATGTAGAGAGTTAAAATATAGTTACAACTGATTAATGAATTAGTCTCAAGATAAAGGATATCATGCATTGGAAATTAGTTAAAAAAGCATATTTTTAGGCATTTTTTTTAAATGGGTTTAGCTAACTTTTCGGGGCTATGTTAAAAAGAAATAAAATCGGGGCTATGTTAAATGTAAAATACTTAAATGAAATAATTAAAAATGTATTTTATTATGTTTTAAAAATAATAAAAATAATAAACTTTTCAAATACTTAATAATATAATAATATAAATAATAATAATAATATTAATAATATAAAAAATGTTGTTAGGATCATGGCAGAATCATTGCCAATCCTAGAATCCTAGAAACCTAAAAAATTATCTGTTTAAAATAGCCTTTTTAGTTCCAAATACATATGTTAATAATTATGGTATAATAAAATAATAAGTATGTGGAAACCCTTGTAACTAAATCCTTAACTTAATTATTTCAAGTACCCAGAAAACTAGAGGGAAAGGATAGAGGGAGATGTTTTTGCGTATAATTGCGTGTTTACTGAATAACGAGATATGAGTTGAAAACACAATTGAGCGATCAATAAGAACCGTGACATTCCTTTGCCGCTGTTTAATTAAAAAACCATTATAGACAAAGGCGCTAGCAATCAGTAGCTGATAATCCGAGTTTCTGCCAGGGCTGTCATGTCAAAAAAAAAAAAACATTGAGATATCTTTACGAAGTTATATATACACGGCCAGGTCGGCTGACCAGGTTTCGTTTGGGGCTTATAAGACGGTCCACTTTGGCCGGGTCCGCTAGTTTAACTTTCGACGTCCGAGGCTTTCGACAAGGAGAGCTAATCAAAGCAAACCCCCAAAAGGATGAAAGGTGTGTGGTTTTACCGAGATACCCCAGAATCTTATCGCTTTCGGGGGAGTTGAATTTTAATTGCGATACTAACGCGTTTTCTGGCGGCGGCATCTGGCTTATCTGGCAGACAATTTTTTAATTAAGACCCTCCTCCGGTGGTGCTCGGGGATGGGTTAAGAACTATAAAAACACAGAGCCTGCCATTGAATGGGTTAGTAACGGAATCGAAACGGTGCGAATAAGTGATTACCAAACCGCGATGGGAGGTAGGTTGACCTCATCATTGGAATTCAGTTTTAAATCATTTTAATTTTCAAAATATATGTTTTTTTTGGCACAAAACGAAGCAATATATCGATGGTTCTCTTCTATACATTCTTCAAATGGCGTCCAAAAATATTTTAAAAAAAGGAGTGCTTTCAGTGAATTTTAATTTAAATTATAAGAAGCAAAATTAAGATTTTTTGTTAAAAAGGTCTTAAAGTTTAAAAGTCCACACTTCGAGGTTCTTAACTAAATTAACTAACCCGTTTCTTGAAACAGAAATACGTTTATTTATTTCTTTTTAAATGAACTACTTATGAGATATAATTAATTTTTAAAATTTTCCACTGCAGCTTTTAATTTGAGGATATGTGTCCTGGCCGCTGGCCTACTGATGGCTTCCCAGGCCTACGCCGCCTACACGATGGAGCAAATGTGCGCTCAGTGGTCGGGTAAAGGATACGTGGGTAATCCGAACGATTGTACCGGCTGGGGCTTCTGTCAAGGCCAGAATCTGGTCGCGTGGGGAAATTGTTCTCCAAATCAAACCTACAACGCCCAATTGGGAATCTGCAACTGGTCCAACCAGACGGTGTGCAAGAGCAATCCAGTGTCAACTTGCCAGCTCGCCACCTCACCAATGTATGTGGCCGATCCGGACAATTGCAACCAGTACTATAACTGCGATGGAAAGGGAAATAGTCAAGTTTTTAGCTGTACCACCGGTTCTGTGTTTTCGGCCAGTGGACCAGCGTGCGTCTGGGGGCCCACATGCCCTCAGGACTCCATTTGCCAGTACATGCTGAACGATATCTTTGTTGGTGATCCGAAACACTGTGGACAATATATCTCATGTAGTAAGGGCGTCGGTACATCTGGCACGTGTGCTTCGGGCTATTATAACCTGCAAACTGGAAATTGCGAACCGAAAAACACATGCGATTCCTCAAACAGTGGTTCCACCACCGATGATCAGTTTACGGTTGGAGACCTGAGTGGCGCAAAAACTTGCGCAAATGGATGGGCTGCTGCAAAAGACTTATCAACATCTGAGGAAACTGTAACTTACAAATTTGTTTCCGACGGTGCCACCTGTTATGGTTACTATTACTGTGCAACTAAGGAATCAGTTGGAGTTTGGAACTCTTGCAAAACTGGCACCCACTTCAATCCAAAGGCCGGACAATGTGTGTCGCCTGCAGCCTATGCATGCCCCTACAATCGGTGCGGAAATGTGGCTGCCACATTCATGGCCACTGTGAACTCCAAATGTGGTACTTACACATATTGCGCCAAGGGAACCACGGCTAATTGCCCCGCCGCCGATCCCTATTTCGATGAGGTGCACAGCATTTGCACCAGTGGCACCCTCAATTATACGGTTTGCACAGAGGAAGTTAATTTGACTAACTAATTTGTTTCCAACTATATCAATTGCTCTTATACCTTAAAACATGTACCTATCCACATATGAAATGCCGAATGAAATTTATTCACTTTTGTTTTTATTTATTAAGGGATTGGGTAACTCTGGGCTAAAGGTACAGGATATAAACAACATGGAGGTTTCGAGATTTCTCTAAAATGTACATGTATGACAGTGCTAGTTAAAATCTTAATAAATAAAAAGATGTTTTGAAAGTGGATTCATTTCAATTAATTATCACAAGGATAGAAAAATATAATAAAATAATATCATTTTTGCAGATTTTATCTTCGATTTTTTCCAGAAACATTATTTCTGTACCATTAATTAGAAATGAGCTTAATTTAAATAAAAGCTTGTTTTTAAATGATATCTAAATGTTATCAGCTACTAGAATATTCGAAAAAGCTGACGTCAATCTTCAGATATAACATTTTTGTTTATCTTTTTAAGGTCGCGATAACTTTAAAAAAGCATTCCTTTTCCTTTGAAAAGCTTAGAATATAAGTTCAAAATAATTGATTTTTAATTTACAAAAATAAGTATAGGTAAGTGACGCATAACTCACTGAAATGTGAATAAATCAGGGAATTCGATCGAAGACAAGGTCCCCCGCCAGACCTAATCGAGACCAATAATTTTTTGTCAATGTCATTGTCGCGTACACCTGCAATATTCCTATCACCTCGAGAGGGGGGGTCCATTGATCGATGCCTCGATATCACCATTCAACATTTTTCCCAAGAGTCTGTTCTTCTGCGAATTAGACAATGGCGGTGTGATTGCCGTGTAATTTACATGCGGCCCCAATATCGTACATCGTACATATCGAGAAATCAGTCAGGGAGCGCTATCTTCCAATTTCTGATTCCAGATAGCGTGTGCATTTTGGAAATTGTTTTTTCGCAGCGGAATGATCTTTGCATATTTAAGGGAGGCTGCTTTCGCTGTTGCAGTATCAGTTAGGTTCTGGTTGCTGTCATCCAAAGATCGCACCATTACGTTCCAGGACCAAGGATACCATTTAGACACACGATGAACACGATGAAGCGAGGTAACTATTTGATAGCTTCTTTCAAGACCAAAAGAATCCTACTTGGAATATACGTAAAGCCCCATATCTTTAGCTAAAGGATTTAAAACTAAATATTTATTTTTTAGCCAGCGGAATCCTGTCGCTGCTGTTTGTGGCCAGCGCCTTGGGCAGCGTGATCGAGGACTTTGAGTATTTGGAGGTGTCCGACATGTGCGGCCTGCTGCCTTTGGGAACCAACTTCCTGCGCCCCAACACCTGCGACAACTGGGTGTCCTGCGCAGGAAATTTCAGTGTCTTTGAGCAGGGTACATGTGCTTCGGGTCTCTATTACAACAAGACGACAGGACGTTGCGCCAACGCGGCTTCTGTCAGCTGTCCGTACAAGAATGTGGCCACGGAACCAGCCAACGTGTGCGCCAATGAAACAGACGGTTCCTTTGTGATGGATCCCACCAGCAGGACATGCCGCGGCTATATTCTGTGCAAGAACCGCAAGCAAATCAAGGCCAACTGCCCCAACGAGCTGATATTCCATCCGATCTCCCGCTCTTGCGTCTACCAAAACCAATACACATGCCCCGAGACCCAGACAAAGACAGCCAGTCCCACCTGTCGGGCCCTGACCAACGGCACTAGGCTGGCCCATCCAAAGCAGTGCGTCCAGTACTACGAGTGCGACGATGATATCCTCCACGAGCGCTCCTGCCCCGCCCAGATGGCCTACGACTCGGCCAGGGGCCGATGCGTCGATATGGATGCGGCAGAGTGCTTTGAGGGAGCCGTCTTGCCGGAACCGGAGAACACCTTCTGCCTGGATGAGGCCACCGGATCCGCCCGTGTTGGATACTTCGCCGACGAGGAGTCCTGCTCGAACTACTACATCTGTGGCGAGCCCGTCGCCGACAAGCACGACACGGAGCCGAAGCACATGAGCTGCCCCCTGGGCCAGTACTTCGATTCTGAAAAATTGTCCTGCCGCGACCGCATGAACGTCCGCTGCCGCCTGGACAGATGCATCGGCACCAACATGTCCTACGTGAACGTGGATGGTAACTGCCAGGCCTACGGCCGTTGCTCCAACGGACTGACCGTCAGCATGGGTCACTGCCCCAGCGGCTACTACTTCGACGAGCGAAGCCAGGGATGCAGCCTGACGAACTTTAACTACATCGCCTGCTCGGCCCAGGTCTCGGACACGACAGAGGCATAGGTTCCCGATCCAGACTCCCATTCCGTAGTCCAGACGCCTTCGCATCTTCAATTCCAATATCAATCCCTAATAAATCAAACCAATTCTTGGTGGAGGTCAAATGCATTGCATGTTACGAGAATATATACTTCTTGGCGGGTGATGGAAATAATGTACTTTTATAAAAATATTTCCAAAATATTCCATTGTATTCCAAACTTATAAAGAACTACTTAAAAACTTTCATAAAACTAAAATTATAATACCAATAAAGTGGATTCCTTGCAATGCCTAGATTTTAACGAAAATATTGGAGGTCAACAGAGTTATATTTTGTTGCCTTGACGTTTTTGAAATATTGAAACGGAAATGTTCATTAGAAAAATGGAGAAGATGGGCGATAAAATTCTTGTCAGACGGAGTTGGTATTTGCTATCAAAAAACGCGGCAAAAACCCGATATTTTTTGTTTCCTTTTGGCAATCTGTTTTCTTGACAGTTCGAGGGCCCCAAATGTTATCAGTTTTAATTAAAAGAGTACCCCAGCGCCGAACAGTTTAGTTCGGAGAATTCCGCAAAGATTTCAGATAGGACCTGAAAAGATTCTTTTATTTAGTCAAGAGATTTGGTTGTTTCCGCGATTTCTAAAGGAATGGTTCTTTTTTGGTTCCACATGGCGGATGATTGATATAATGATTTCAACTTTTTAATAAAAGACTTCAGATAGTTGGAAGAAAGAAAAGAATAATATATTTGTATAAAATATATTTATTAAATATCTTAAAATTGTACAATTTAATGTAATTCCTTTTTAAATAATAATGTTTTTATATACTTTCTAGTTAAATTCTTTTTAGTATTTTTCCGTGCAAAACTTTTATTGGCATGTTGCGGTTTTTTTCCCCAGCTGTTAATGTGCCTTTATCAGTCAATATAGACCTTCGTACACCTGAATGGGTTCTCCACTCTCTCCGGCATGACATCATGGCTCCAACTATCGGCATGGAGTAAAAACGCTGTGCTCGGCGTTTCGGCCAATCGGTTCACGGAAATCTAAGCCACTCGGCAAGATCACTTAATCGTTATTGCGTTATTGATAAGGAGGGCACTTAGGTATTATTTATTGTAGCAGCCGAAAAACCTAAGTGTCTAATTAAAAACGATTGCGTTAGGGAACTCACGAGACCGTATATGTCATCACTCAGACCGTTGGCTCCGCCTCCGGGGGCACGGTGGTGCCGGATGATAGCTGGCAGGCGGGATAAGATATCACCTGGGTGGTGCACCGCTGACTCAGCTCGTCAAAGTACTCGTCCTGCGGGCAGGTGCCCTGTCCGATGACACTCCCATCCTGGCAAAGAGAATATCCTCGGCAGCCGTCGTCCGATTCGTTGGCCAGCTGGATCGTGGAGTTGCCCAGACCCACGCACCGATCAAAGTCGCACTTCACCTTCGACCGGGGCACACAGGCACCACCGTCTGTGGCTACGAAGAACCTCCCGTCCGAACACACGCCATGCTCCAAGGACATCTCACCATCGGCCAATTCCCGGCAGTAATAATAGCCGTTGCAAGTGCTATTGTCCGACACAAACACTCCGGCTTGGGGGCACACGCCCTCGTCAGCGATCACCGGAGCCGGGGTGAAGGCGCACACCTCGTCCTTTGGATAAACGCATTCCGCCGCTGAGGCGCTGAAGTAAAAGGTGCCCGGACACGTGCCGTTCAGGACCTGGCCGTTCCAGCACATCTGCCAGCCGTTGCAGTTGGTCGAATCCTTGATGAATACGCCGTCTGGCAGGATGTTGCATATACTGTCCGGATCCATCTTGGCTGCGCACGGAAAATTACGAATGCAGTCCTCTGTACCGGGGCTGTAGTTCATTCCCGGACTGCAGGCTCCATGATTTCCCTTGCCGTTCACGCAGTAGTAGTATCCGTTGCAGGAGTACGGATCGGCGGTGAATCCATTGGCCAACGCGGCACACGGATCACTGGACACACACTTTACCGTGTCGGAGGCGAGGCACTGCTCGCTCTCACGGTCGTAAAAAAATCCCGAGCTGCAAGTGCCACTAACTGGTGTGCCGTCGATGCACTGAATCCAGGCGTTGCAGGCCCGAGGATCGTTCATCTTGGTGCCGTTCACCACAAGGCCGCAGATGACATTTGGATCGAAGGTCCCCAAAGCCTCCAGTCCTGGGACTAAGGCGAGTCCAAATAGAACGAGAAGCTTGGAATCTGAAAATGGAAGACTATGTAGGAGGAGACTTTATGTTTATCCTGAATACTTACACATCTGGCCGATTTGAAAAATAATAAATTTATAAAAAAAAAACTCTTAACGGCTCTTAATGAATAAAAAGAACGTCCTATCTAAATGCAAGCAACTTTGGCATTAAATACCTCAACCGACCCAACACTCGCCTTTAGCGGTTTCTTGGCCATTTCGGAAAGGTCCATAAATTTTGGAGCCTTAACTTTGAGCCAGAACTGTCGTCAGTGGCTAAAATTGATAAATTTGTTTATAAAATTTGCCTCATTGATCTATTTTTTTTGCTTCTCGCACATTGGACACTCGTGTCATAGCTTGAAAATAATTAAAACTTACTTAATGTGTTAATAAGTGCTTTCAACGGAAGTTTGTGGCGATTTGGTTATCTTGGGAATAGAAAATTGTTAGGGCCTGTGGTATTTTTAGTTACTGCTAACCAGTTGGTTTAAAAATACGCCTGATAATGGGGCTGCTCTATTTTTGTGGATATTTGCGATTTCTAGAATCTTCTCTCTTAGAATCTTAGATTATATTAATTTAATTTGGTTTAACTTTAATGTTATGGGCTTTCTGGTCAGATTTACTTTAGTTGGAGCACTAATATTTTTTTTCATAGAAATGGGGACTTTTTTTTAGTAAAACAGTTCTGTAATCTAATCAAGTAATGTCTAGTTTATTTTATAAAAATTTATAATCTCTTTAAAGGATCGACTTCTAGGAATTGGGCTTACATTTGTTATTTAAATAAAACCATGAATCACAGGCCCTTGAAACCACTTATATTATTTAATTTTTTACGAATCTGTTCTATTGTTTTCTGGCTGTCACAACAAAAGCCATCGATCATGCAAAAAAAAAAAACTAAATGAGATTCTTTTTCAGGGAACTCCGATATATCAAAAATCGAGTCCACTGCCCTGACATGTCGTCGATCAAATGGGACGCCCAACCAAATTGGAAGATAAAGTCCTACCGATTCGGGCATAAAAGCCCCAGAATGACCATCACTCAGGAACAGTATTCAACGAGGAGCCACGAAAATATACAACTAAAAAGAATGGGTTGGTTTTTGGGAATGAAATTAGGAAACCCTAATCTATATCCTTATTCTTTATTCGAATAGGTGGCAAAGGAAACTATATTGCCGGCTTGGCACTGCTGATTGCTTGTGCTGCTCCAGCCTACGCCAATGTGAACACCACCGCCCTGTGTATGCTGGTGACCGATGGCGTCTTGGTGGCCAGCCAGACAGACTGCACCACCTACTACCAGTGCCAGGGATCGGTCGTCACTCAGATGTCCTGCGGCAGCGGGCTGTACTTCGACAAGAATGCCCAGCAGTGCGTCAGCACCGTACCGAGCACATGCACCAGTGCCAGTAATCCCTGCCTGGGCAAGGCGGTGGGCACCTTTGCTCCGTCCCCCACCACCTGTGGCGGCTACTACTACTGCGGCGCCTCCGGTCCCGTGCAGGGCAGCTGCCCCGCTGGCGAGAACTTTAATCCCACGACCATGGCCTGTGCCTATTCCAACAACTATCCCTGCACGGAGTCTATCTCCAACTCAGGCAGCAGCTCCACCCTGTCGGTCGCCCTCAACCTGTGCAATCTGGTCGAAAACGGAATCTACTTTGGCAGCCCGTCCAGCTGCTCCACGTGGAACCTTTGCCAGAACAACGTCCTCAAGAGCGGTTCATGTCCCAGCGGATATGTCTTCAATGTGGAGCAGATGAACTGCGGCTACAAGACGATCTCCTCTTGCTCCCAGGTGACGAACGATCCCTCGCTGACGGGCATCATTAGTCCGACGACCTGCACCACGGTTGGCAGCAAGATAGCAGCCACCGCCTGCAACCAGTATTACCTCTGCAATCCCTCCCGGACCTACACACTGCAGACCTGCTCCGCTGGATACTACTACGACACAGTGTCCCAGGCGTGCGTCACCAGAACGGCTGCCCGAAACAATTGTGATCGCTGCGTGGGCACCACCTTGTCCTTTGTGAACGCTTATTCAATCAGTAATTGCACCAACTATCTATACTGCGTCAACGGCGTGGAGCAGGCCGAGGAGTCCTGTCCCACGGGCTTCTTCTTCAACGAGGTCCAGGGTAGCTGTGTCCAGGGCACGGAGCCGCAGTTCCTCTGCTGCAATCCAACATTGAGCAACGGAACCTCTACATCTGGGAGCTCATCTTCAGGTACATCTTCTGGAACTTCCTCTGGAACTTCTTCAGGAACTTCCTCGGGAACTTCATCTGGAACTTCCTCGGGAACTTCATCTGGAACTTCCTCGGGAACTTCTTCTGGAACGTCCTCGGGAACTTCTTCTGGAACTTCCTCGGGAACTTCTTCTTCCGGAACTTCCTCTGGAACTTCCTCTTCTGGAACTTCCTCTGGAACTTCCTCGGGAACTTCCTCGGGAACTTCTTCTGGAACTTCCTCGGGAACTTCTTCTGGTACTTCCTCGGGAACTTCTTCTGGAACTTCCTCGGGAACTTCTTCTGGAACGTCCTCGGGAACTTCTTCTACCGGAACTTCCACTGGAACTTCCTCTTCTGGAACATCGTCTTCTGGAACTTCCTCTTCTGGAACTTCCTCTTCTGGAACCTCCACTTCTGGCACTTCCACCTCCGAAAAATAGGTCAAGCAGCTAAACTGCATTTTTGAGGATATATATTTACAAATATATTTACATGTTTATGAAGCAACGAAATTTGTAATTAAATATCATGATTAACTATTTCTTAATTTAAGTGAAAAGCTATAAAGTTTTTTAAGGTCCCGAAAAAAGAACATACTCCCTATGAAGAAAACAATACCTTTACAGTCCCCGGTTTATAGTGAAAATAACCCTGATAAACAAAAAATACGTCAATATATTTACGATATAGCCAAAAAATTACGTAGGCATATCTAAATTGTTTTAGTGTAGCATACTTTTAGAATTCATTTGTTTATTTACAGAACAAATATAAAATAGTTGTTCAAAAAATATTTGTATAACAGTTGATATATAAATTAGGAAGCAATAGCTAAACCTTAAAAAGATTTTTTAAAAACTTGTCAATGAAGTTATATGTATGATTTTTATTTTGGGGAATTTGCTGTCGTATTTTTCAAGGAAATGCGATAAAAGCTGTAGTAACTAGGTATTTCAATTCATTGCGATTATGTTATTGTGCTGATATAACTTTAATTAAAATTGATAAATTAACAACCAGACAAGATGTTCTTGGCGTATATTGGATCTCATAAATATAAAATTGAATCATGTTCTCTGGCCTATAATTCCTCAGAATTGTGCAGGCTTATCTGGGCCAAGTTAACAATCTTGATGGCGAAGTTTGAGGCGAAGCCCTATAAAAGCCAAAGGCCGGAAAAACTTCGATATCAGTCTTCGGCTACCATTCTTTGGCAAATACCAATTCTACCAACGGTTCCCGGTATTACCAAATAACAATGACAGACAAACTCCTTCTGGCGACGATCCTCTGCCTGATGGGCTCCAGCGCCCTAGCTCAGGGCCTTCTCGAAGGCAACTACAACGTGACGGCATTCTGCAACTCGGTCCCAACCGGAACCCAGCTGGGCAGCATTGTGTCCTGCGAATACTACTACGTATGTCAGTCAACCGGTCCCGTTCAGGTCAACTGCACGTCCGGCTATGCCTACAACTACACGCAGAATGCCTGTCAACCGGCCAGCCAGGCTAACTGCTTCTACGGACTGGAAAGTCCTTGCAGTGCCACCACCGGCGAATCCTTCGCTCCTGTCTCCGGCTCCTGCAATAAGTACTATGCCTGTAATAATGGCGTCAGCGTCGGCACAGGATCCTGTCCCGCTAAAACCAAGTTCGACGCCACCAGCCGCCAATGCATCTGGGGATCTTGCTCCACCGATCTGGTGGAGAGCGACACCCCCAACCTGAACAGTCTTTGCGATGTGGTTCCGCCTAACATTTGGTTCGGTACCACCGAAAATTGCGAGACCTGGTACAAATGCACGGCTGGAAAAGCAGACCCAAGCACTGGCGAGTGTTCAGGTGACACTACAGTGAGTAAAAAACTTAAGAATTGAGTATTTCCCAGATTTATGAATCAATTCCTCCAAATTCATTGAATTACAGAGTTTCAACGTGCAGAAGCAAATTTGTGACTACTCGACCAATAATGTATGCGGACGTGTGACCGACCAGCCCCTCATCTCCACCACCACTGGCGCCTGCACGAGCGGCACCGCGCCCAAGGGCGACGCCACGATCTGCAGCCAGTACTACCAGTGCCAGAATCAGCAGTGGCAGACCTACAACTGCGCCTACGGCTACTACTGGGATACGCTTACGAGCACGTGCCTGACCCGCCAGGCGGCCACTCCCACCAAGGGCTGCAACCGCTGCCAGTACTCCACTGACATGTTCGTCAACGCCGTGGATTCAGGAAACTGCACCAACTATTACTATTGCAAGAACGGTGCGGCCACCTCTCTGTACTGCGATTCGGGACTGTTTTTCAATGAGGAAAGGCAAGGATGCGTCAGCGACAATGACCTCGAAACGTATACTGAGACCTATGGTGCCTGCCATGGAGCCACCGCTAGTGGCAGCTCTTCGACCACAGATGCGGGTTCCAGCGATTCCAGCGATTCCACCGCCAGTACCGCTGAGTCCTCCAGCACTGAAGAGTCCACCACAGAGGCCACTACCACGGAGAAAGAGGAATAGAACTAGACAACGGATAATGAGCAACCACTTTTTGAATTCTATATATATTACAATTTACTATTCAGTATTCCTATTAATTCGCAAATAAAATTTGTATTGCAATCAAAAAAAAAATAAGTAACGCAAAATTATTGGCAGAGACAAAGACTTAACTGGCTTCTCCATACATTCTTCAAATTTTAAAAACCACCATAAAGTACAAAAATCGAAATATAAAAAGAGATGTATTGCACATGTTGATGCAGATGAGTAAAAAATCGATCAATGAATCGATCAATGGATAATTATTGGCCAGGATAGGAAAAATTTTCCCTCCCTTGCATGCTACAAATGTTAAAGGGGACCCCCTAGAAAATTTGAGAAAAAATATAAAAAATATTTTGTTCCTGGATTTTGATGCAGATTTGTGAAGAATCGATCCACCAATCGTTTAAGGCATTCCACTTAGGAATCCGATGATTTTTGACAAAAATATAGCCTTCAAGGTGCCCCAGATGGTCATTTTCCCTCGTTTCCTAAATGTTGAAGAGGACCCCCTAGAAAATTTGAGAAAAAAATCTAAAAAAAATGTTGTTTCCTGATTTTGGTGCAGATTTGTGGGGAATCGATCCACAAATCGTTTAAGGCATTCCACTTAAGAATCCGATGATTTTTGACGAAAATGCAATCTTCGGGGTGACTCAGATGGTCATTTCCACTCGTTTTCGAAATATTAAAGCGATCCGTTAATTTTTGACAAAGATATAGCCTGATATGGTGATTTCCACTCGTTTAAACGTTAAAATCGTGGATTTTATTGCAGATGGGTGGAGTAAAAAACCAATAATATTTTAGGGCGATACTCCCAAGAACATTAATTTACCCTGTATATGCCGCTGCAGACCATTTCAAGGGATCTCAGCAAAAAATATCCTAGGGCAGTGTTAGATTTTGAAAATATTTACTTTCTATTTATAGTAATGAGTCAAAGTGATCAAAATTAAATTCCTTAACTGCCCGATGTTTTTTATAGGACGTTATCTGTAAAAATTAGTTTAAAATGATACGCAGATTGAGAACACAAGTTTTCGTTTAAGATCGAAAGAAGCCACACCCATGGAGTCGACCTTATAAAAGAGGAGCCCCTAAGAAGCGCGAAACACTAACAAGAATATATTTCGATCCATACGGTTATATCACATTAGATCGGTTGACAAAAGCAACTAAAATGAAATGCTGTTGGGCATTTGTGGTGGCACTCGGATTGTGTTTTCAACTGGGAGCGGGTAATGTCGTTGACCACCATCCGGGGCTGAAGAAAATTCGACTTCCACTGGGTGATCTCACTCACGTAAGTATAAATTTTAAAATTTTAAAAGCCTTATAATAGTTTAAAGCGATACTTTTTAGATTTGTCGTGGACGCGAAGAGGGTGAATTGGTGGCTCACCCACTGGACTGCAATGGTTACTTTGCCTGTTCCCGGATTCCCACTCTCATGTACTGCGATGAGGGGCTTCAGTTCGATGAGGATCGTCGGGTTTGTGATCTCCCAGATAACACCATTTGCCGGCAGAGTGATTCTTCTGGACAAGGTCAGAGTAGTCTAGCCGAAACCTCCGAGCTGCAGTGGTGGCCCCATAAGCCCCGTCCCGTTTTCGTGGCCGTTGATGTAAATAGTGGGGAGCAAGTGAATCCCATGGAGAAGTATGATCCAAAGGACATCGAATGCCGGCACTTTGGCGCCTACTTCCTGCCCCATCCCACCAATTGTCGGCTGTACTTCATCTGCGCCTACGGCCATCTGCACCGTCACCAGTGTGGGCGTGGCACCCGGTGGAATTACGAGATGTCCGAGTGTCAGTTGAACGATCAGGCCGTTTGCTACGGGCATCCCAAGGACGAGGGTCCTGTGGAGGAGGTGGATATTATTTTGGGGAGCACAACACCTAGCAGTGGAGCTCCGGTAACCGTTTGCTATATTGTGGGATCCGGTGGACTCACCACTCTCCAGCAGCTGCTCACGGATCCGGAAACCACCGAGGTGTCTACGGTGACCGTGCCGGTTCCTCCGCGGGCCGAGACCAGTGCCGCCGTTAACGCGGCACTCACGTGTCCCTCCATCGAACAGAGCTATATGCCCCATCCGGAGGACTGCAGCAAGTACTATATCTGCATCGGGGGCATGCCGGTGCTTACCTCCTGCCCCAAGGGTCTATTCTGGGACCAGAAATCGGGCTACTGCGAGATGGAGAAAAATGTCAAGTGTTTCCAGAATTGAAAAAATAAAACGAGGATATCGAACATTCAATTGTTTTTGTATTTATATAATATATTATATATTATATATTAAATATTAATAAATTTATAAAAACAATAAAGTAAAAGATTACGAATGAATTAAAAACTTTTAAAGAACCGTAGCCATTGTAAGTCTTTGCCATAAAACACTTTTTTTGTGAGCAGTTTCAGGGCTTTCCTTCTCAATACTATTAGATTGCCAGGGGTAGTTCTTCACAGCGTTTAAAATTTTCTCCCAAAAACTTAGTAACTTTGTGTCAGAAACTCCTCCATTTTGGCCAACTTCCTCAGCTGAAATACTGGCCAAAATCACAATAACAACAGCACAAATGGCCACTTTTCGTGCGAAGATTTCTTGCATTTTGAGACGTAGGCTATTAGAAACTGATCTTGCTGGCAATTATAATCTGGCCAAGTGTTCAAATAATCTGTCAAAATCTTATCAAAAAATGTTGTTTGAAGACGCTGCAAATTGCTTTACAACAATTGATAAGATAACTGGCCATTAATTGTATAAAAACGATTTTAGCCTAAAAGACGGCAATAAAAAGTCCGTTTGATGAAAATAGTATATTTTGGTATGTAAATATTTAAACTTTTAAACAAAATGTATAAACTTCTTACTGATTACGATTTGTGCTCTAAATTTGTAAATTAAGAGATCAGGAATTTAAAATATGTAAATATTTTTTTTTAAAGAATTTGTAAGTAAGATAAAATATTTTAGATAAATAACAAATATTATTACTTGCTATCTGTACTTGCTATATGTACATACATATATTGTTTATTTTTTAGAGAAAATTTTTTTCGCAAATATTTATGTTTTAAAATAAGTCAACTATATAATGCATTTATCTTGGAGGAAATATATTAAAACCTTCATAAATGATGTCATTGTTTTCCGCATGCGAATTTGAAAGAGATTGTCCCTGATCTTTTGTGCAATCATAAATTATCCATTAACTATGTTTGCCGGTACGATTATGTTGCAAAATATATACATTTTGAATAGATATATATCTATCTGATGTGTTTGGATCATTTAAATGTATCTTCTAAGGCGGTCGAACTCAATTAGGGCTGGTTCTGCCGACCAGTAATTAATTCAGCCGTCTCACAAAACGGCCAAAGCAAACTCGTTGGTCAAAGTCGGAGTCGCGTGACTCATAAACGATCGCAAAATGGCAAACAGAAATTATTTTTTGGGGTGGATTCGACCAAGCTAATACGCTAAACAAGTTCCACCAGGAACCCAGGGGGTTACTACGAAATGCATTTACTTTTTAAATAAAAAAAAAAAACACTCTTTGTGTTAATTTAATCAATGAAAGGTAATGGCAAAGATCGATGACCCTATTTTAAATTTACACAAAAATTAATGATGTATGATTAATGGTTTTAAAATTTTGAGTCTTGATTGTAAGCAAGGACAGATAGTTTTGTCTATTTCTGTATTAAGATACAAATGTATCTCAACCTTGAACTTTATCGAATTTAAGCTACATATGAGTATGACCTGAATTAGGGTATAGTATAGGGTAATAGTATTTGATAAGTGTCATTTAGTATTCCCTACGGAAAGTGTTAATTTACTTGACTGCCACAATGTGATTAATTTCTTAGCGTCCAAGCCAACGGCGCAAATTTTAATTAAGAATTCAAGTTCAAATCCGCTTCTGTTTGTCACACCCCTCCAACACACTTAAATAAAGATATGTATATATAAAATATATACATACATACATATATTCAATGTACATAGATATTTTTAAAAATATTGTTTATTTGTGTTTTTGGAAATGCGACGGCGCAACATCGTTTGTAGCACTTAGCAACATTTTTTACTCTCTTTCAGCTTTTGTTGCACAACATTATCGTTGCTATTTGTTTTGTTTTTAGTTTTAAACATACATATTTTTGATAAAATAAATACATAATTAAATAAAAAGGCAAACAATATATTTGTTTAAGACTCAAGTAGAAATATTAATATGCATATACATAAGTTAGCAGATTAAACCTGCCTTGCTTGTTTTTGAAATATTATAAAAAACAAAATGTAATTAATTTTTATAAACTAAAATTAGCTAAAACTATTTATCCATATTTATATATAAATATGTTTTTTTTTGAAATGGATGTTTTAAAACGTTGGCAACAAATGTTGCTAGCACAATGTTGACAGAGAGATCCAGTAAGCGTAAGAGAGATCTTTCGAGAGAGAGCTGATATAATTTATTATTTTAAAAAAGCTTATATATCGGCCCGCGGAGTTTTTTTCTTTTTTTGTCGGAAACGTACGAACCGGTCGCTGTCGCGTCGTTCTCCGCAAATAGTTTTTGTTATTTTACTTAATTTTAATTTTATACGGCTTTTGGCGACTTGTGACGTTGTCGTTTTTTTTAGGAAGTGCGCACATATGTGCGATTAAAATAATGCCACTGAGCATTCCAAGTGTCGCTATTCCGCGTGTTTAGCTTTTTTGGTGGGTCACCACACCTGCACTTTCCGGCCAAAACAACAAACACAACAACAACAGCTGTGCGGCCAAAATGGTGCTCAAGTGCAAAAAATACAAAGTTTAATAGAAAATTCTTTAAAAAAAAAAAGAAGCCGCAAGTCGAATTAAAAACGTGCAAAAAATACTGAGAGTGAGAGAGCAGTGCGGAAGAGAGCAGCAAAGCTCACGCTCTCTCACGCTTGTTTTTATATAAACCTTCTATATATTTACATATCCGTACATATGTATGTAATTAATTCTATTATTTTTATAGATTCCATGTGTTGGAAACCGTAAACAAAAAGCAGATGATCTAGTTAAAGCTAAAGTGCAAATCTTTCTTTGTTGCAAAGATCGCTTCAAACTCCAAAAAATCGAGCAAGGCTATCGACTTGTCACTGTGTGCGTTGTCGTTTGCATGTATATGTGTGCCCTCTGTGTGTGTGTGTGTGTTTGTGTGCGCAAGCGTCGCGTCGCAATGCGAATGTTAATGAAAAACACAAATCTTAAAATTACTAAATAATCACATACATTTGATACAACTACAAAAACAACAACAGCGGCACAACAAATACTTTTTTCAGGCAAGTTCATAACTAAAAAAAAAACTAAAACTAAAATTAAAAATAAATAAAACTACTTATAGCTACAGACGTAAACGAAATAAACTTCAAAAACTGATAAGGTCCGAAGGGTAAATACTCGGAATGGCTAACTCTCTATAATCATCCATCTCGCTCTGGCCCAATATCAGCTGTGCTATATATCAGTATATATGTGTGTGTGTGTTTATAAAATCATACATAACGGGGCCCAGTGGTCAGAACTAGCCGATTTTCGGGTGCCCCTCACATGGGGGTGCCGAGTAATTAACACCTTAGCTTCATGGAGGAAATCATTATTGGTAATAAAAAGCCATCCAGTACACAGTTTGTTTTTCTTAAAATGTGTTTGTACCTACAATATCCCTTATGTTTGATCAGCTGCGGGGATATCTATAGTATAGATATAAAGATATTTTAGATAATATATGATACATGCTATATACCATTGGTTATATACTAAAGGCTGTTAAAAGTTTTATAAAAAAAATAACAAATCAAAAATAAAAATAATAAATACATAGTAACTCAAATAGTTTTAGCTGTAAATAAATTAATTTTTTGAAAGATCTATCTTATAAATGGTCTATACCAAGTGTTCTATTTACAAATATACCAAGAGTTACCTTCCTAAATAAAAATGTCGATGTTCTATTCAAAAATGCTATAAACATGAGTATGGTTCCTAGAACCCTTTAGGAATAAGATCTCCAAAGCTCTCCAAAAAATATAATTCTGCAGCAATATCTGAAAATTCAAGAATTCACTAAATATACCTTTTTAATCCTTTGGAAGATACAAACTTGAACTGATAAGGAAAACCTTCTAAAGTAGTGCCATTTTAGATAACTAAATGCGCTTAGCTATATGATAAAGATATAATACTACTTTGTACTAACCTAGCACACCTAGTAGACATTGAAGAGCTCTGGCAAATAGAGATACACGTGCTGAAGATGTTATAGGTATCTCAGGTTATCAAAGGCGGCTAATCTAACGAGTCTACATACGTGAGGGGGCTTATGCAACCCATCACCATTGTACATGACAGTGATGGGACCCGGCCCGGGTTCCATTATCCAAAAGCCTTATCAACTGGCCCGATATGTAATGAATTAAGAAACCTTCCAACTCCATTCCAACTAATTTGAGACGCATTTTTCCTTTTGGCCCGAAACCGGTTTGTTGGATTCCTGCACTTAACACTCACCTGGTACTGGGATGGGGGTTACGTCTCGCAGGAACTCTATGCACCTAGGCTGTCAATCAGTAGCGATCAGTTTTTGTGCCACAGTAGAGCCTGTCAACACAAACTTTCCCATTTCTACCATTTTATTTGTTAGAAATTCCAAACATTTTTTGGTAATTTGAAAAGTGAAATCGAATAATGGTTAGTTTAAAAACCATGAAAAATCCTAAAATATATTTTAGTCAAACATTTTAATGGATGCCGTAATAACTCTAATGTTTTATGACGCAGTTGACTGTATATTCCTATGGGTATGTGTACTTGGACAACACAATGCGATGTCAATGAAAGCCTCAAAACTGGTTTCGGGCTAGGAAACTCAAAGCAAACACAGTAGTGCAAGTGCCTCGACTACCACATACCCACCAGATACACACTTGCACTTGTGGTGTCCATTTCATATCAGAAAAGCATCCAAAATAGCATCTGAATGCTTATGGAATTTCAGAACCCCCCAATTAGAACTCTATGGAGGGCTGGTATTACCTGGCACGTGGTTCATGAGGCGAATAAGACCCTGAGACTGGCTAGCTAGTGTTTGTTTTAACAAATTCTTAATTCTTATATTTGCCATCTAAAGCCCTAAAACCCAAAGTTTACACTTGATATTAGCTGGCTAATCGACCTCCTAGATCCCTTCCCTTTGGGTTTCTGGCTTCTGTTTGCTTAAAATAGTACTTGTTTGGTCAGTCTGACCATCTGAAGCTCTCTCGTTACGCTATTGTTTCGATGGTTTTGAAGGTAAATTTGATCAGTCGATTGAAAAGTGAAGTCTGCATTCATAATGGACCGGGACATGAACTCGGAACAGAAGCAGCGATACCCAGTGGTAACGCAATACCCGATCGGGCTCAAGACCAAGTGAATCATACAATCAAATCTGGTTAGTGCTCCTCCACGCACAATGAAATTTGAAATCGCCACCGTAGCATAACGAAATAATCAAACGTAACCGAAATCGATATCGATATCCGAAGCAAGTGCAAGGCCAGATCGGATCGAGATAGTCGCCTAAGAGATCTCGACAGGACAGTGGTGGAGTGGAGTCTATATTTAACCACAATACTACAATACTTGTGGCAGGAACTCAAACAAACTGAGTGTTATTGATATTCTGATCATGGCTATAACCATGCGGTTTCGATCAGTAGTAGATACACCGAGAAAAGAATACTATACCTTATGATGCTTATTATTTTGTAAAAATATGAAATGTTTGCAGATTTAAGGCCATTTAAACGAGTTAACAGATATTCCTCTTTTAACAAAAGATTTGCGATCAGGGCCTTATAAACTATTCAGAGCACGTTTCGTCACTAATGTTTACAATGGTCAACACCATTTAAATCAGTTTGTTTGGGTTGGTTGGGTTGTAGATACATGTTCAGAGCTGGGAACAAAGGGCACTCAATGACATCACCTTAACATAGTTATTTTTGGCTAAAAGTGGGCAAGGATAATGTCATTAAACTATAAGGAGCTATGAATACGAATAAGACTGGTATTTGTACAACAATTATTAGAGATCTCTAGAGAGTTAAAAATAAACTTTGAGCTTCGACTGTAGAGCTCTAGTCGATTCTCAATTGAGAAGCTAACTTATAATTGGCCTCCACTTGACAAATATATGAGTAATGAATTCTGTTCGTTTTCGGGAAGCTCTACTGAAGTGCCACTGACATTGATAAAGTCAAGACGCCTGGGGGACTTATTCCCAAAAGGGTATTTGGTGATAAGATCGTTTCACAATTAATAGTTCCCTATAGACCTTAGACCAAACTTAGACCAAACTAAACCATAGATCTGTAAAAATAAGGCAAGTCATGGAACTAAAAATACAGATTACACAGAGACACCACCCGAAAGATTGTGCTATATGTAGCTGCAATCTATTGGATACATGGGTGGGTTAAAACGGAACCAAAACAATCTACCAACGAACCCAGAGCCCAACCAGAATGGCACAAAACCCCAAACGACGGGAACTCAGACAAGTGCGCTGCTTGTCTCTCCCAGTTACGTTTTTTTTTTTGCGTTTTTGGTTTCGAAATCTTATCACAGCACTGGCAACTGCCAGTTGACTGTTGTTTTTGAGCTTTGTTGGAAATAAAAATTGCCGTTGATAACATTTAGGCCGTCTCACTGTTGTGTCCCTCTTTGCTGGCCCGCCAGTCAGCCAGTCCCGTCCGGGAGCAGCCATGTAGCTCATTCCTTCCGCACATCTGTCAGTCGTTGCTTGGAGTGTCCCGGTTCGTCGTAAATTGGAATTGTGTCGAATAGAGTGCAGCCTGAAGAAGGGGTATGATATCTCCCAGTTGCGACTGTGTATCTTATGGCCAATATGGGCCACGTATCAGCAACTGCAAGTCTATGTACAAGAAAGTGTAGATTAAATGCAATATTGGCGTGGTTCGTGGCGAGAGCAGTGCTTTCGTTGCGGCGAGTGAAAGTCCCTCTTGTGTGGTATCCACTGTATACCAGATAATGGCTCTATACACGCGAATGATATATGCTCTCCCCCTCCTCGATTTGGCTGTATGGGTTCCCGTTTATCAATGTAACGAGTCGCTGCCGTCCTTTGGCGATGATAAATTGACAGATTGCACTTGTCCATCGCATATTCGTTTAGCACTCCGGAGCTTAGCACTCTGTCAGTATTTGAGATACCCCGGAGGTCACTGTCATTTTAGTGGGGCCTTCGATTTGATTTCCAGACAAGTATTCTGAGTAGCACTGGGTCTGGTTGCATTTTCCATTATTGTGATTTTCGATAGGGAGATACATACCACCTCGTGTCTAGATCTGTAATCCCTCCTTGAAAAGACACTCGAGAGATTAGGATCTTATACCATTATTTTGATGTTCTCATCGCTGGGCTGTCATTTATAGATAGTGTCTTTCAATCGATAGTAATCGATGAATGAAGTCTTGACTTGCGTAATATCTGGAAGAGTCAGTTGTAGACACTGTTCCAAGACTACATGCTTATTTGGTTTTCTTTTCTTTTCAATCGCAAAGTGAATAGCAGACCCACACCATAAAGACTTGGACGAAAGTCATTCAGAGAGAGAGAGAGTGCCAGATATCGATATTGCCAAAGTGGGGGCTTTGGGGACTTTTGATAGGCGAGCAGAGCAATAAAAGCTGACCGCGCATATTAGCCCGACTCTTAATCAGTTTATTAACACTGTCCTCCTTCCACAGGGGTTTGAAGTCCGCTGGCTTCGGCATGTATTCTAACAAGGAGACAAAGGCCGCCACAAAGGCGCACAAGAAGACCCAGAAGGTTAACAAGAAGCAGCAGCAGAAGCAGCCGATCCAACAGCCACAGAATCTACCAAACGGCAACAAGATGAAGTCACCGGGGAATGCGAAAAGTCCCCCCTCCAATATCAATAACAATAACAATAACAATAACCATGCCAACATCAACAACAACAATAACAGCCAAACCGTGACGAATAGCAATAGTAAGAATAGTACCACGGCACCGGGCAACGTAGTACAACAATTTTGGGAACACTACCAGGCCGAGAGGACGAGTCAGGCTCTGATCAATGGAGCCAACAGCCTTGCGGGAAACGAGAACGTGCCCAAGATGGAGCGATCCAATAGCTTCTCGTTGCGCAACAAGTTATCCAAGTTCATCAATCACCTGACGGGCAGCAAGGAGAACCTTTCGCGGATCGAAGACGACGGAGAATCCGGCCGGGTGCCCTACACGTTCACCCGCAGCCGTTCGATGATCCAGATGCGACGTCCCAACCGGCGAAGCTTCATCGAGCCGCAGTTGGAGCAGCTATCCGAGGAAGCGGAGAAGTCCGGGGATCTCACCTCGCCGGCATCGCCGCGCAAGACCTCGGTAGCGGATCTGCAGGAGAACTCTCCGATACCGCTGCGCAGGAGCGAACTTACGTCCTCCGTACGAACTCCGAAGCGTCGCCAATCCGCCCAGCCCTTCACATCGACGCCCCTGGATGACGTTCAGCCGCAGGCTCAGAGGAAGGCCTCCCTCATGTCGCTGAACAAGACGGAGCCCACGAATCCGCAGCTGAGCTTCCAGAAGAGGCGATCCAATACGCTGATAGCCTCCTTTAAGAGCACCTTTAGCGGCCTGACCGGGAGCAGTGGCGGGGCCGAGAAGAAGGAGAAGATGAACCCCAAGTGGAGTGCCTCGCTGCAGTCCTTGCAGGCCATCGACAACATGGTCAGCTACGCCAACATGTCCTTCATAGACTACGACAAGTTCAACGGCTACGAGAAGCAGCTGGAGCGTCAGCAGTCGCTGATGAGTCTGGCGGAGCAGCCTGCGCCCGCCGCCACCCAACTGCCACTGCCCGCCACCGTCTACACCCACTCCCATTCGCCCTCTCCGCTAGGTGATTCGCAACGCAACTCCCTCCACCTGGGCTCCTCCCTGGAAGAGTCTACCAGGACGGTAGTGATGCGGCGGCAGCAGAGCAAGAACTCCCTGGAGGGAGGCAGGAGCAAGACCTCCCTGGAGGGAGGCAGAAGCAAGACCTCCCTGGAGGGGAGAAACAGCATGGCTAGTCTGAACAGTGCCTTCAATCTGGACACGGACTACGAGCACAAACTGGACCGGAGGCACAATGTCTATCGGGAGAGCCTTGACTCGCGGACTCTCGAGTTGTTGAACTCACGATCCCGGAACTCCTTCATCCAGGACCAGGCGTTCTTCTTCGATGCCCTGAATCTGGAGGATGGCTCCGTGGGACAGAGGTGCGCCTTGTGCCGGAGCAGCAGTTTGCGGCAGCAGCAGGAACGGGACGCCGTGGATGGTCGGGGGAATCCAAAGAAACAGGTGAGTTTACTTCTATTTTTGTTATAATAGAACCGTATCATAAGTCAATATAGAGTGCATCGAGTACTGATGACCAATGTAAGGAATATGATTCACTATATAGCTTCCGGTTTATGGGTTTCCGTAAAGCCTTTTGATTTTCTCCGAAAAAGGCGCCATAGGGGTCTTGTCTCTTATCAAGAATGAGTATTATGTGATTACTACCTGGTGTGTCTACTATTTGCAAAGGTCTTCAGCAACTTAGACTACATATCTGTGTAAATAAAAGGGTCTTTGTGTCCAAAGAATATGACCTACTACTATGGTCTTTAAAGAAAGAATGAAAAGCCCAAAAAGAATCATATAAATCTCATAAATCTTTTAAAAATCAATTCACACTTTCTTATCCACAGTTCCTGCTTATCAGAATTATAAAATCGTGACTTTCTTTGCTTTATACTTTAAAACGTAAGCCCAGTTTCATTGAGATATCACATTTCCGATTTATGAATGGATAATATTATGTATAGTACTTCCCCAATTAAAGAAGGTATCGATGGCTTGGTCTTAACTATTTGTATTTGCCAAACTTGAGGTGTAAATAGTGATTGGAATAGTTAAAGAGTTAGTTAGTTATTTAAAGTACAACGACATGGGACCCTTACGATTGCGGATAAAAACTAATTTGAACTTAAATCAATCTTCTAAGTATTAGGAAAAATGTATAATGTGTTTATTCGGCGATTGCTGATCTCCACCTGAACGGACCTCCTCTACTGCGTGTAGTCGGTGTCGCCCTTGGAGTAGTGTATGCAGGCCAGAACGGTATCCAGCAGATACAGGGCACCCTCGATCACGCAGAGCGATCCCATGGCAATGCCCACCTGGCGTTCCGAGTTCACGTACAGGAATCCCTCGTCGGACATGTATCCCTTCCAGTAGTGGAGAGCCACTCCGCCCACGGCGATCCACATGATGGTGCCAACCACGTTCATGATGGTGTCACAGAGTTCTCTGAAAGAAGGACAAACGAGTTAGGGTCTATTTGGAAACTGATTGGCAGAGAAACCAGAACAATATTGCCATAAAAACCAAACAAACTGATAAGGAAGTTATAGCTCCATGTTGGCAATATAGTCAGTTCTGTACATACCCCTTGTGCTTGGTAGTTCCAAAGGCATAGGCAATCGTATGACATCCTGTGTAGATCAGGAATCCAACCATCACTCCAGAAGCCACAATTTCCGCATCCGCGCTCTTCTCCTCGTTCAAGTTCCAAGTGCCTCCGATACCCAGGAATTCTCCGCCATCGCCCCAACGATACAGAAAGATGATCACCAAGTTGATGATCTGCAAATAAGGATGTCGGAGAAGGATGTAATGAGGTCACGTACGAGCTCTAATGATTCACATTCCAGCCACGCCTTGCCGCACAACGCGGCGTATGAGTAATATTGCTAATACGCCCCGGGGCCTGATAAACGGCCGCTTATCAGCCAAGTTGTTGCGACTACCAATGGCTATTGGCCAATTTTCACAAAAAAAAACTAGTGATTCTCCTTACCAGCTTCAGGGCCTTGATGAAAATAGAACCAACTGTCTCCACGGACACCATTTTTTTCGTCAAATATTTAGATTTGTTGATCGTTTGCTGTAATTTGAAGGGAATATTTTAGAAAACACTGGTCTGGATGGGCTCTGGTCTCTATATCACTTTGGGCCACTCACAATCTGCTCTGTAATTCTCACGCGGAAACTACAACAAGTGATTCGTGTTCGTATCGTTGTCGGTCGTCGACTAAACTGAAATCATTAGTGGAAGCCAGTCAACCTGTTGCCCGTTTGTCGCCAAGAATTTGTAGCTTTTGCAATCGGAGCATACACGGTCAGAGATTAGATAGGGCCTTCTCCTCCTCCTCCCTAGCCACGATAACAGGTGCGATCCGAAATGGGTTACTAATTTCTGTTGACTCGTAGTGCTCGTAGAGAGATGCGCATGCGCCGGCCCCGCCCGCCTATCTTATCACTAGGTTTCCTTATCGTGGTTCGCCTTACAACGCTGCGATATCAGGTGCTCCGAGTACTGCTTTATGCGGTTTTGGGGTCGGGACTGAGGGCCTCCCTTAATCATGAAGTGGCGGCCACAAAGCCACAAACGTGAAAAACAAAAGCCCGGGGCTGTAAGAGGCCGGAAACTCATTTTCTTGCGTCACCATTGGATATGATTTTTGATGGTGGGGTGAGCCATAGGTCTGGTATTCCCTTCCTGATAGCGCCCCCTAGCTTTGTCGGATGCATCCCCAGACCTTGAGAATGAGTCGACCTTGTCACTATTTTCTGAATCGATAACTTGGACTCACTGTTGGACTTGGTCTGGCTGATAGAAAAGCTAATCTGCATTTCAATTAGCACTAGCCCTCCCCTGAGAGATTCAAGATTGAGATTTTGCATCTGGAACTTGAACCTAAACAATGCAAAATACATACAGATACATATAGGCTGTACATATAGATACTTTTTATAGTTCTATTATAGAGTTGAACTGTACCCCGTGCATCTGCATCTCTATAATGCATTTTATTTGAAATGTAAATATAAATCATAAGCTCTGAACATGAAACAGACATGACATCACACACTCTGTCTAGAGTTTCTTTTTTTATGACCTGTCATTGAGTGGCGTGTAAAAATATAGACACAGCCATTAACCCATGAATGTGTATTGTTGGGTATTATTGTGTATTATTGTACTTTTTCGAGGTATCTGTGGGGTTCATTCGCAAGCTGTGTAACCGCTAAAACGTGGGATTATACGGAAACTAAGAAACAACTTTAAATTGGTAGTTAAAACACCTTTTAGTTCTTAGCTTCAAAGAACTCTTTAGTCAAGGCTATCCACAAAAGAAGACCAAAATAGCCAAGGAATTTACTTTGAAATCAAGGCCAGAGGTGGTTCTTTCTTCTGGTTTATATTCAGATACTTTCCCCTTTCCTTTTCTGGTGTCCCCCTTCCGCAGTCCCACTCCATAGAGTCCCAGAAAGTATCTTTAATTTTGGAATTTGTCTCCTCTGAGCATTCTGGCGATGAATCACTCGCCACGAGAGGCAGAGATTCAGCACAAAAACCGGCATGCACCGTCACCACTACCACTGAGGCAAGTCGCTGTTGGAGCTCTCTCTCCCCATATGGGGAACGGAGCTCCACCAAGAGAGATCGCTTTAGAGTTAAGAGAGTTCCCCAAGTTTAATATCATCTATAATTAATATTTTTAAAGATTAATCAGTACTATTTAATATTAATAACTTAAACTATAAAATATCTCTAAGACTTTATGTAACCTTGAAAAAACTAAGCTTGAAAATGGCTAAAAAGTTAGCACAGCTTTTGGGTTTCATAGCAGCCAGAGCTTGAGAGTGCCAATAGAAATGACACTTATATGGCAGTGACTTGCGTGTAAGTGAGAGGCTTAAACAGCGGCTTACAGCAACAACAACAACTAGTCCCAATGTAACTCACATATGAGTGTTCCACAGCCTTCTGGGGAGTACTTACCTTCCTTATTAGTACTACCTGGCGTCACTGAGCTGTGACTGCGTAAGCGTATTCAAAATCCAAGCTGTCCACTGTGGGTGGATTAAAATTAATTCGCAGACTTGACCGCAGCCTGACTCACAGCAGAATCATCTCGATGAGCACATGTATTGGGGGAGAGCTTTTCCATTTTGTTTTGATTACCATTTGATTTTTTCGCCGGCTGCGTTGTTGCTTTTTATGAATGAAAGTGCCGTTTGTTTACCTTTGCGCCTCTGAGTATGCGCACCTCAAAGCTCTCTCGCCAAGAGAGAGAGACTCACACACACATACTGTAAGGAGAGAGAGAGAAAGTGGGTGAGAGTTTCCGAGTTTCTTATCACTCGAGTTCTAAACATACATAATCACAGGCGAAAAGTTTTCGAAACTTGAATAATTGTTTTGAACTAATATGCTGTTGCCACAAAATGATTTACGGAAACTTGTTCTACAGTTGCATATTCAATTAATTAAAGCAACCATCTTGTTTTGTAAACAAATTTTTATTCATTTTTATTGACAATTTTAAGATGGGCGGAAGTTTATTTGACATAAATTTTATGACATTTGCTCAACGCCTGCATTCATATTCATAGAAGAGACAAACAACTCAGGGAAGATAAATAGGGTCAATATTTGCAGTTTTAATGATTAAATTTCTTAGTTTTAGTTATTAATTTGTTTATTTTTTTAAAGAAAAGACTTTAATAAATTATTGTTCGAATTTTTTCCAAAACTGGCTTCAAACTGGTGTCCTGCGTTTATGCCTTTTTGTGTAAAATTAAAAAATGTTTATTAAACATTTCTTAAAATATACCTTTATAACAAATACTGCTTCTAAAAAAAATCATAAATCTATTCGTGCACTTGTGTATATTACTGGCTTGTTTACGCAGACCTATTGCCGAGAACCCCATCTTCGGGCTGTTATCCTTATCAGGCGGCAGCGACTGTTTTTTCAGCTTTCTCTGCAAGCCAGCCAGGCTTCGTTGTCCTTTAAACGAACGGATGGTGACGCGACGGCCTCAGTTCGTCGGCAGCCGTCCCACAGTGCGGATGACCCAAACCGGAGGAGCAGTCCGCGAACCGACGACCTCCGAACTGCGACCTGCCGCCGGTCACAGACTTTAGTTTCGTTTGGTCGCCAGCGCGTTTATAGACGCGGGCGCGTTTCCAGCTTTCAGCGATTTAAAACGCTGGAAGGCTATCGTGTGGTGTTGGTGGTGCTGCTGCTGTAATTCCGGCAACAAACAAACAAAATAAACAAGCCAGCAAGAGTTACATGACAGAAGTGAAGCCGCCTGCCTCGTTCAATAACAAATCAATTGAAATATGTATACTCGTCGTAGGTCTGGATGCAGCTACGGTAAACAAAAATTGAATACGAGTATATGATTGTTTGCTTGCAAATATTGGGTTCGTTACCGAGACCCATTTTTTGCCTACAGTGATTTTTTAAAACTATGTGACAGTGCTAAGTCCTTTCAGTTGCAACCCAAAAGTGCCGAAATATCTCTTCGGGCTTTATTTTTCCATCACAAGTAAGCCATTTTATTCAATTTAATATTCCCATATTAAATAATTTTTTGAAAGAGATTTTAAAGCGAATCACACACTTCCTTGCTGGAAAACATTTGGCCAATGCCCTTGATTTTAACGATGGCTTTGATGGCTTTTAAAGGTCACTAGATGTTAGCAAAGAGTAGATTACAAAAACTTAAAAAAATACTTCCCTCACAAACACTTTTTTTTTGCTATTTAAAATTTATGCAGAATATAATATCTTATTAAACATTTATGGACATAAAGATTATCATCTAAAGTGGCCATAAATAAATTTTAAATGAAACCATTGAAACTATTTCATTATTTATGAATATGTGGTAACTGTCTCTGCTATCAGAGATAAAATATTTAAATTTAAATGCTATTTTATATAAAGAAATAAAAAAAAAGGGAAAAGCGTTTCTTAATCTTTGAAACATCCTCCTTTGTTTACCGACACGCCTTTTAATTCCTTAAGGATCTGAGCAAATCCTTAATTCCCCTTAACTCGAAAGACCCGAAAAACGTATTAAAGGAATGCCACATTAAATTTATACTCTGGTGTTATCATCTCCCAGCTGTGGCATAAGGACTTGTCCCGCAAGGAATCGCTCCTGGCATTTATTTCCCAGCCTTCGACGACAGAGATTTGTGAATTTGTAATGCTTAACATACTTTTGGGCGCAAGAGTACTAGATACTAGATAAATGTAATCATGGCACAGCGTTTGCTTTATTGAAAACACAAAAGCAATAGAAACATGGCACTCTGGAAGGTGTGGGAGTGATGATGTGCCTCCTGGCCTCTCCTGCTTTTTCTTTGTTACCCGCTCCGAAACCTTCAAATATGCATAAACTAATTTTGGCTTATGCAACATACTATACTTTTTCGGCACGGCCCACGGCATTGAGGCTGTTCGCCATTGAGCTCCGAAGCTCTGGAGGAGCTCTGTTATAATATTCATTACCTAGCCAGCCCATATGTGCGCCGTTTTGGCCAACTCCCCCGCCATTGCCCCACCTCTTGGTGAAACATTTAAATGCTAATAAATTTCGTTTATGAGCCAGAGCCTCGCTGGACACTCGGGCACTTGAAAAAATGTCTCTGGAACATAGAAAATATTGTTTTCTAAGATCAGAAAGTTAGATTTTCTATAGTTTTTAATATCTTTAATAAAATATAGTGTTAAAGTAGTCTTTAATATTAGAATGAAGGTGATCAAGTGTATAGAGATACTTGGGAATTTTTTTGAAGATTCAGAAGCTTACTTTACGATTTGACCAAAAATCGACCAGGTTTTTGGTTTATATTCTATACTATATGTTAGTAAACTCTCTATTATTTTAGGACAATATTTTTTTGAGTGCATATGTTTGGAGCAGTCCCCAATGACGTCCGTGCGCTTCGTGCTCGTGACGTCCGGATGCCCAAAAAAAAGGTGCAAAGTCAGGTGTGGGGCTGGCAAGAAATGGCGGTCCTGCTTAAGGAATCCACGTCTCCGTGGCTTCTCCGCCGGCATTCGAAGTAGCTACGGGAAATGATTTATGGCTGCTCCACCGCTGAGGCTCTGCCTGGCCAATTCCATTGGTTTGTTTGGTCATCCGCTGCTCCGTGCCAACAAAAATAGCTTCAAGATTTGTCGAATGTGTCGGCTGCTGAATATTTGGATGCCATTTTTATTTTTTTCATGTATTTTTTTCCTGGCTGCGTGTCGTGGATG